TCCCACGAGGCGCGAGGTATCTGGCATCTGCTGGCGGCGCCAGCTCTAGCGGCGGGGGGCGCTTGGCTGGGAGTCCGTTTTTCGTAGGAACCCACGAAAAGCGGACCGCGTTGCGCTTTATGCTTTTCCTGTGGTCATCTTCCTTGATGAAGATGCTACAAGTGAGGCGCGAGGTGTCAGCATCTGCTGGCGGCATCGTCTCGAGTGAAGGGCATGGCTTGGCCCGGCGTCCGTTTTTCGTAAGAACCCGTGAAAAGTGGACCGCGTTGCGCGTTATGCTTGTGGTCGTGCGGATGAAGAAGAAGACGCGACCCGCGAGGCGTGAGGTATCTGCTGGCGGTGTCGTCTCTAGTGAAGGGACGGAGTGGCTTGGACCAGCGTCCGCGCTTCGTGGGAACCCACGAGAAAACGGCTGTGACTTGTGGGCCGTGTTGTTCGTTATGCTCGTGGTCGTCGTGGGGAAGACGTCTCCCACGAGGCGCGAAGCATCTGGCATCTGCTGGCGGCGCCAGCTCTGTCTAGCGGAGGGGGGCGCTTGGCTGGGAGTCGGTCCGTTTTTCGTGGGAACCCACGAAGAGCGGACCGCGTTGCGCTTTATGCTTGTGGCCGTCTTGATGAAGGTGCTAGAAGTGAGGCGCGAGGTATCTGCTGGCGGCATCGTCTCGAGTGAAGGGCATGGCTTGCCCGGCGTCCGTTTTTCGTGGGAACCCGTGAAAAGCGGACCGCGCTGCGCTTTATGCTTGTGGCCGTCCTAATGAAGGAGAAGACGCTTTAAGCTTGAGGCGTAAGGCACATGCTGGAGCTGGTGGCGTCGTCTCTACTGCGGGGAGCTGCTTGGCCCGGCGTCCGTTTTTCGTGGGAACCCGTGAAAAGTGGACCGCGTTGCGCGTTATGCTTGTGGCCATGCTGATGAAGATGCTACCTGTCTGCCGCGACGTATCTGCTGGAGCTGGTGGCGTCGTCTCTACTGCAAGGATTTGCTTGGTCCGACGTCCCTTCTTCATGGGAGAGAACCCAGAAAAAGCGAGCCGCCCTCGGGCATCGCGGGGAACACATACGCTACCCGCGAGGCGTGAGGTATCTGCAAGCGCCGCCACCTCTAGCGGAGGGGGCACTTGGCTTGGGGTCCGTTTTTCCTGTGAGCCCACGAAATGCGGACTGCGCTGCGCGTTGTGGTCGGTGATCATCGGCGTCGTCGATCGTCTGTGTCGTCGATTGGTTGCGTCGTTGGTCGGCGGTGCCATCGATCGTCTGCGCCGTCGATCGTCTTGGTCGTTCTCTCCTCTAGCCCTAGCGCAGGCGTGTCGCCGTCACCTCTAGCGCATGAAGGCGCTCGGGCTGGGGTCCGCTTCTCGTGGGATCCCACGAGAAGCGAGCCGCGGCGCGCGTTGTGTGTCTTGTCGTCGATCATCTTCCTCGTCGATCGTCTTCCTCGTCGATCGTCTTTATCGTCGATCGTCTTTATCGTCGGCCGTCTTTATCGTCGGTCGCCTTTATCGTCGGCCGCCTTTGTCGTCGGTCGTCTTTATCGTCAATCATATCTATGCCGGCTGGGTGTTCCACTATCTAACTATAAAGGTCGGCGGAGCAAGACAAGAATTGAAGGGCCTACCCGGTACAAATCTGCTCGCATGTACTCAGACATGTGGCGAAACGATTTCGGCTTGTTTTCGGCTTGGTGGATCGGCGGCCCATTTCAGATTCCGCTCCACATATCTCTCAAAGTGTCTACTTTCAGAATTTGCAGACGACGACCGACAACAGCAGACGACGACTGACAGTGACAACAAAAGACGACAATCGACGACGACGGACGGCGGTCGACGATGACAGACGGCGGCCGACGACGGCGGACGACGATCGACGACGACGGACGCCGATCGACGACGACGGACACCGATCGACGCCCGACGATCGACGACCGACGACTGGCGATCGACGACTGGCGATCGACGACTGGCGATCGACGACTGGCGTTCGACGACTGGCGTTCGACGACTGGCGCGCGACGACTGGCGAGCGACGACTGGCGCGCGACGACTGGCGAGCGACGACCGACGACCGACGACCGACGACTGACGGCCGACGACTGACGGCCGACGACTGACGGCCGACGACTGACAGCCGACGACTGACGGCCGACGACTGACGATCGACGACTGGCAGCCGACGACTGGCGGCCGACGACTGGCGACCAACGACTGGCGACCAACGACTGGCGACCAACGACTGACGGTTGACGGCTGACGATCGACGACTCCTGACCATCGACGACCGACGATCGACGGGTGGCAGTCGACGACTGACGATCGACGACTGACGGCCGACGACTGGCGACCGACGACTGACGACTGACGACGGACGACCGACCACGGCCGACGACGGACGGTCGACGACCGACGATCGACGGCTGACGATCGACGACGGACGATCGACGACGGACGATCGACGACGGACGATCGACGAGTGACGGTCGACGACTGACGCGCGACGATCGACGATCGACAACTGTGACGATCGACGACTGTGACGATCGACGACTGTGACGATCGACGACTGTGACGACCGACGACTTTGACGATCGACGACTTTGACGATCGACGACTTTGACGATCGACGACTTTGACGATCGACGGGACGACTGACGATCGACGACTGACGGTCGACGACTGACGATCGACGACTGACGGTCGACGCCTGACGATCGACGCCTGACGATCGACGACTGACGGCCGACGGCCGACGACGGACTGACGATCGACGACGGACGATCGACGACGGACGGCCGACGACTGACGGCCGACGACTGACGGCCGACGACTGACAGCCGACGACAACTGACGGCCGACGACTGACGGCCGACGACTGACGGCCGACGACTGACGGCCGACGACGGACGAGCGACGACTGACGGTCGACGACTGACGGGCGACGACTGACGGATGACGATCGACGGCTGGACGACTGACGGTCGACGACTGACGATCGACGGCTGACGATCGACGGCTGACGATCGACGGCCGACGATCGACGTCCGACGTCCGACGTCCGACGTCCGACGGCTGACGATCGACGGCTGACGATCGACGGCCGACGATCGACGACGGACGACCGACGGCCGACGCGCGACGCTGACGCTCGACGACGGACGATCGACGACGGACGATCGACGACTGACAGGCGACGACTGACGACTGACGACCGTCGGTCTAGCTTTTGATGAAGGACGTCAGTCCGACGTACGAAAGTAAGAGGTCAGCCAGTCTGGCGAAAGACGTCTGTCAGTCCGACGAAAGGGATCAATCTGACGAAAGACATCCGCAGCCCGTAGAAAGGCTCCACGCAGCCTGCTCCGACGCAAGGCAGACGCCAGGCGATGTAGTGCGCCGGTCTGGCGAGAAGCGTCACCTGACTGGTCAGTGCATCAGTCTGACGAAGAGCACCAAGCTGAAGAAAGCCACCAACCTGACCAAAGGCGTGAGCCTTGGCCCAGCGGAACATGTCGGCCAAGCGAAGCGCTTCAGTCTGATGCCTGGGCGAGAGACGTCGCCCCGACGAAAAGCCTCAGCCTGGCCCAGGACGTCTGCCGAAGGGCGCCGACCTGCCCGACGAAAGCCGTCGGCCCGGCGCAGAGCGTTGCTCTGACGAAAGGCACCAGTCTGACGAAAGGCCTCAGTCTCCACCCTGGCGAAAGACGTCAGCCCGACGAAAGACGTCAGTCCGACGAGAGGCGTCAGCCTCAGCCCGAAGCGCGACGCCTCACGCCCCCGCGAAGTGCGCCCGTCTGTTTCTGACGAGAGACGTCCGACGAAGCAAAGAAGAACCCCGCCAGGTGTAAGCGCGTAGAGAGTGAGGGACCCCAGCAGCGCGGACATGCGTGACCCACCAAGGCCGCCCCTCGTTCTTGCCTGGTGCCACCGCGAGGCGTTTGCGCGCGATGGGGTCTGCGGATTCCTGTGCGTGTCTGGTGGCTCACTTCTGGTTTTCTTGTTGGGCTGCCGTTGGGGTCTTGCAAATTCTTAAGCATTTGCCTGGCCTCCCCGGCAATCCCATAAAAAACCGAAGGCAGCGCAATGCCCTGCCCATGAGGCGACGCATCTGAGTCGGCCAGCGCCGGCACTCGGCTCGCGTCGTAGTCAATTCGTCGAGTGCAACAGCTCACCCGCGGGCTGTCTCTACTCTAGCGGCTGTAGCCCCCGGGAGGCAGAAAAGTGCTAAACTTGAAACCGGGCGAAGCTTGTGGAGGCTAGTTTCCCAGTACCCAACCCGAATGAGACAAAAACCGGGGTCGCCATGCCTTCAATATGAATAACTCTGGAAATCAGAGTGCCAGCATCCCAGAGCAACAGCAAACGTTGAAATAGCAATACCCAAAAAATCAAAAACCTTCCAACTTAAATCACTCGATCTCAAATCTCTCTATTTCGCCTAGAACAAGTAATTACGGACAATGAAGGTAAGAATTAGAGAAGGACAAACTGCGTAAGCCAAACTTGCTTTCTCAGTTTCTCATAGTCGTGCAATTTTCTTTCGCGACACTTCGTCCCACATTTTTGGCACATCTCCCCGTATGGTAAGAGTTTCTAGCTGTTATTGCTCTGTCAGCGCTTTCCCTTGAAAAAGTGCGTAGGTATGTTTCCAAATCTATCCTCCATGTTTTTTTAAACAGGTAAGCTTCTATGCGCGGAGTTTATGGGTCCATACATGTTTCACTATCTATGATGCAACTACTGAAGCTGATTTTCATTCAATGTAAAGCAACCCCTTTCCACCATCTAAAATCAAGATGTAGATGATCATGACGACGTATAAAAGTTAACAACCTGCTTGGGAACAAGAGAACCACAATAAACATGATGCAGGCGAAAACCCCAAGAACGGCCTTTATCTTTTTTACAAGGAAAATAAGAAGCTTTATTGCCTGTAATATTCAATTTAAATGCAGGGTCGTGACAAAAAATAAATTCTAAAAGAATTTTCAAAACAGCGAGCTTCTTTATTTACGAATGAAGCTCTGTGTAATGTGCTTTCATGTCCCAGCTGAACCAGCGTGCATCTGCTTGATGAGCGGTGGCGGAATGCCCTTTCATTCTGCTTTCATCAGTTCTGCTTTCCGCGAGCTTCGCATAGGCTGGCTGCAGAGAGACGCCGCAGTCCCTAGCTTGCGCGATTCGAAAGTAGCCCAATTCACCCCATGCCGTGGACCACGAATTTCTCACTGTCCAGAATGGTATGCCTGCGACACCTCCGTCATCGTCGTACCCCGTCAAGGCCACTGCGTGATCGGTCTGCTCCAAAGTTATGCCCTCACAAGCAGGCACATCGATCACACCGCCGGCATAATACAAAACATCAGGTCCCGCGAATAAAACGACCTTGATTGTTGATCGTGATTACTTAAGACATAGTAAGTTAAAGTTTCAATAGTAGTGTCCATATACCTTCACTATAAGGTATTCTTCGAAGCCTAAGACGATAACATCATGACTTCATCAACATACCACTACCACTATCCTACGCGTTCGATAATAGTTGAAAATTAAGTACCGCCAGAATCCCTTTCAGGAAGAGCGCAGCTTTGATCGCTTGATGAATTGGTGGCACGAGAACCCAGTGCGTCACCACGGCCTGTGCAGCAAGCGGTTCGTGGCAACGGCCCGCAACGGAAAGATAGCCGCCGTAATCTCCACCCTCTGGAATCGGAATTCCAACCATTTCCTCAGCGCCTGCGTTTCCACCGTCACACGCGTGACTCGTCTGGCCCCATGCGCAATCCAGTATGAACTGTTCCGAAAGCGGATTGTCTAATCGCTCTCCGCCCTGTGCGAGCGCACCTTCAACCGCGGCGATGAAGGCGAACGACCAACAGGATCCACAGATACCTTGATCTTTTACAGGTCCAAGAAGAAATCGCAAGTCGTAGTAACGCGGCAGCACAAGGCGAATACTCTCCTCCATGTGTTTTAGACGTTCTTGAAAGTAGGTGGCTGTGGCGAAGAGAGAATCTAAATCAACAATACTTTGCAGTGATTTCAGTATTGATTTGGTTACCTCTATCGGAAATTCAAAAGCTAGGAACATAGCTTCGTCGCATCGTGCAGTACTTTGCTCTTGTGTTCGGGCATCGCGAAACTATTTGGATTCAGCTCGACCTCGTCTCCAACTGGCATGGTTCCAGACGGAAGAAAATCGGCTGACGGCGATGTTCCACGCAAGCCTAGACTCAATGCTGCTTGCTGGTCGCCTTCTTCGATCTTGTCACCCGCAGTCACACCAGACGCACCTCTTGGTGCCTTTGCAGCTCCCGCCGACATCTGAGCAATAAGCCCTTCTGCCGCTGCACGATAGTCAAAGGCTGCAAGCCGATTTCCGAGTAATGGAATCTCGTCGGATGATATTCGTTCCGAGGTTTCTGGCATTTCCGAATTGTTTGCCTGCAAAAGCTCATCGAGAAGTACAAAAGCATGTTTGGTTTTGGTTGAGGAGGAGGACGTAATATCTTCCGCTTCAGCCGTCTTCTTGCCGCTAGCAGTGAAAAGACCTGCTTTCTGCCGAAGCATAGTCAAAGCATTGGCTGCCTGACGAGAGAGCAGCGGTGCGTCGCGAATTAGCCGTCGCAGTACTTCCGGATGCTGGAGAAGAAACTGCAACTCTACCTCTCTTGTTGATTTAGATTGATGTGCCTCTTGTCCCATCAATTCCGCCTCCAGTATTTCTGCGTGTAAGAGCTGTCCTAAACGAATCACCGGATCCAACTTGTGACCCATCTTAGATGAGCGAGCATAGGCAAGTGCCAAATCCGCAAGTTCCTTGTCTCTGCTCTCTTGCGCATCGACGTTCTCACCTGCTGCTGGTACCGTTGCGGCGCTTGCTAACTTCGAGGTCGCCGACTCTCCACCTGCTACCTCCTGCACGGCTTCGCTCCCAGTAGTTGAAGCAGACGCGAGAAGCCTATTTTTATCAGTCACCCCCGCTCCACCAGCCCCCGCGACGAAGTGCGTACGCAGGCTCATGCTCGGAAAGATGATCGGAGCGTTGACGCACTCTTTGGGCAAGTCAAAGATCCTTAGCCTGGACTGCGCATTGATCCCACTGTCAGGATCGACTGCGGGTTCAAAAAACATATAATCGATTTCCCATGCATCCGTATGGGCATCAAACACCGGGTTGCGCGCCCTGAAAGCTGTCCACTGGACAGGAGCTCCGCCATTAATTAGAAGAGCGACGATTTGGTTTTGGAGTTGACAACTAAAACATGAGACGAAGTACTGCTCAGCACATAGAAATATCACAATAAAATCTCCCAGTGCCCGTCGTTGATTTACAAAGGCGGACCGAGCGTTAAACTTTGTTCATAAATTTGCATCAGTATAGAGCTTGAGATAGCCACCCTTATCAGTGTCGACTTCGACAAGGGGTACACCGGACGTCCACTCATGGCAAAGCATGCCCCGTACCTGGCGTTTATATCTCGTTCTTTTGGAAAGCGTAGGAAGGAAGTATCATGAATTTCGGTAACAAGGAAAAATTTTGTTGTATCTAAGAGAAATGCTTATACCACAACGTCTCCGGTGTACGTGTAGTGCGAAAGATCCGGCAAGAGAGCGAGGTGCTGCCAAGTGGGATCACCCGTTTCTTCTGTGAGGCAGACGCGCTCTCCATTGCGGTAAAGGTACTTGTAGTTCTTTTTCCTAGGAACGGTATTTACAACGACCTCGTTCTTGGTCGCATTCTTAATTCCTGACTCGTTTGATTTCCCGCCTGCTGCGCCGGCACTCCCGACCTCGACTGTTCGGTCGTTCCTTGGTCCACCAGCCCCGGCGCCGTCCTCACTGTCCTGATCGCTGGCATTGCGGTCGATGTGATAATCAACCTGCAGGAAGTTGAAGTAATCGATGCGCCACAGTTGTGGCGAGTTGTAGTCGACGTAAAAACTCAGGTCTATCGGTGCGATGCTATCAGCAATTTGCTCTGGACGCGTTCGTAAGCGCACAAACGTGCGGTAAGGGTAGTCGAAGTTGGGTCGCTCCGGTGCAGCACGCGGCCCGCCCGTGTTGTAGCTTGACGGAACCGGGTTACTCGGACGCAGCGCTGACGCGCTAGCTGAAGTAGAAGCTCTGAAGTCGCCGGACACGGTGTTCCCGGTAGAACTTTGACTCGCTGCCGCGCGGAAAAAACCGGTCAACAGCACCATAAATGCGCATCGCCTGCGCATCCTGGCGGGAATGTCGCTATGCCTGCGTCGCATTTTCTTTGATGCACACTTTGAAGCTTTCGAGAGAACAGAAAAAAGATGATCTTTCTTGTTTTTCTCTTTGCAGATTTTGATGGCTAGCTACTTTGCATACCGATCAGCAGAGAGACGAACGCACGTTCACGTAGAGATATCAGAAAAACAAGAGTCCCGGTCAATGTTGCTCCGCCCGCTTGTAGCTCGCTCTCTTGAGTTTCCCGTCTTTCATTCTGTGGTTCATTCTTCTGGGAAACAAAAACTATTACCCGTCTCCTTTTAGGTTGTTGTTACACCTGGTATATAACAAACGTGGAAAAAACAAAATTGTAAGTATTTGTCCCTATGGAGAGACAACTAGCGGCTTCCTGCCTGTAGTCGAAGAGTGCGACGCACGGTCATTGTAGACTTGTCGACTGACAACGACTCATCGGGATACACGTACTCAGTCGTCTTGGGCGTTACGCGCGTAAGTGTGCCACTCTGTCCATCAGCCAAGGCGCGGCTCTAGAGTAAGTTAGGGACAAACATGCTGTTGCTAAAATGGCTCACGCTCTGAAATGAATATCGTAGTAGAGGAATCACAGATACATTGTAATGAATAACGAGTAGATTATCAATTTAGACGCACGCGTAAGTACCTTGATCGTTTCTTGAGGTGCTCCGCCCGTCGCACTTGCCGGGGAGACAACCGAAGTGAAGTCGAGGTCGTCGCTTCGAAACACTCGACGTCCGCTTACGTAGTCTGTGTATTCGACGCCTGCCGCAGTCTTCGAGACAGAGCGATTCGGTTCGCACCAGTGTGCGTTAACAGACACCCCCGGACGCTCTTCGACTGTCAGCACGTCCTTCGCCTGGAAAACGCGTTCACCATCTAGCATCTCTGCGGCATAGCGATCCCAGCCACCAGATTCCAGGTTCCAGAACTCGATTTTCAGCGGCGTTCGACGCGCGTACATGCGCCCGCCCCAGAGATACTCTTCGCGACCATCGAAAAACCGGACAAGCAATCCAGGGACTTGTTGATACCGAAAAGCGTAGCCGCCGTCGATCAGGCGCCATGCGCGAACGCCCTGTGCGATCGGAACTGCATTGCCAATTGCTCCTGGTGGCGACGCCGGTGAGCCACCAACGAGGTCCGTGGTCCCATGTGAATCCGCAGCATCCGCAGCATCATCGCTACTCCCAAGAACGCTCGCTGTTGCTGTCCCTTCTTCGGAGGATGCTTCGCCTCGGTAGTTCAGGATCGTGTCTCGTTGCAACCAGCGTCCGTCATCGAAAGCTGGCATATTGAATGCAGGACACGGCGGACCACCTGCAACACTCGACACTTTCATCTCTGAACCAGCAACTGCGGTGGACCCAGCAAGAGGAGCTACGCTACCAGTTTGCAGTGGAACACTGGCGCTTTCGGCAGTCGTAGAAGCTAGTGGGCTGACCTGCAGAACAGGCATCTCTGAACCTGAGAGACCAGTATAGCTGTTTCTCTTGAGAACTGCATTGTCGACGTCGCGGCCAGCATCTGGCTCAGGCCTAGAAAGGTCGTGCTCGTTTCCAGACAATTTCACATCTTCTGATTCTTGTTCGTCTTTGTCACCCTCGGGAGGAGCACTTCCAGTTTTCGCACCACCAGATATGAATGCCTTATCATCCTTTTTCACCTTACGCATGCTCGATATTGACTTGATCCTATTTTCATTCTGTCCTCTACTGGTCTTCGTTCTCGCCTCGTGCATGCTCAAAGGAACTGCATCTTCGAGATGTTCAAGATTTCCTACTTCATCACGAACATCACCAGCGTTATGATTGCCCGAAAATCCACTTGCCGCTAGCAATCCTTGACCCAATTGCTCGACTGCGAGAGCGCTCTGCAGACTCGTTGCACCGAAAGGCAGGCGGGCCTCCGTCGTGCGACGCCGCGAGAGGAGAGGTAGATGAGCAAAATCCACAGTTGAGTTGTCCGATAGTTGCAAAAACCCTGCCGGACTCTGTCCCGACGACCCGACGGCGAGAGAACTTCCAGGAACAATTTGTGGCTTGATGGGTTAGAATTCCAAAGTACAAGCAAGAAAATACCGATTTGACTTCCAGATTTTCATCACCAATACACAGGTGGATTACATGATTCCCTGCTGCCAACTATCTACATGTATACTTCCATGCCATAATCCCCTGCCTTCTTATCCGACGAGCTTCCTGGGGGATACTTGATGACCGGAAGTGGGACATGTCCATCGAGCTCGTCTAGTGTCCACAGTTCTTCAACAGCATGTTGACCGATCTGCTCCGCGATTTCTCTTACTGGTTCACTCAGAACCGCTCGCGTGTGCGTTCTAGCCTGCTTTGCTACTTGACCTAAGACCCACAGGCCGCCGACGCTGAGTATGAAAGTAGAAACGGAGAAGGGGAGAGAGATTTACAGCATTATTCAGGTAACTAAAGGACGCGATAACTTAATAGCAAGGGGAATTTCATAAGTTTCGCAATCTTGTTCGACACAGCGTGCGCTGTCTTCTGCGCCGAATCTTCGATCTCATGCTGGATGGCGTCATGACCGTAGCGAAGCCAGTGTGCCGCGAAGTTGAATGCCTTCGTTGCAGCTTGCTCTTTTTGAACGCGGAGATGGGAGGGAGTCAGCAAATGCAAAAACTATGTACGATATAAATGTTACAGTCTTTGCTCTTAACAACAAGATTCATCAATCTACTCGACCAAGAATGTACCGAGACATTTTCCTCTTTAATCAAGACAACACAACGAGTACCATGCAACAACTACAACTAGCAAATCCAATCTTTTCTAGACGCCTAGGCTAATTTCATAGGCAGAGCGCGTGGCAGATGGCGGTGCTGGCATAATTTACCCGCGCTACGTCAGCTGTGCTTTCAACTGCATTGCGATACGCTTCCTGAACTGCATCCACACCAGCTCGTCGCGCTTCGACCTCGGATTCCGAGGCTAGGACGGCACCTGAAAAAAAAGTCTTCATTTACGGGAATCAATGGTGGATCAGGACATTCTATGTCTTGTAGACTGCAATAAATCAAGTTCTGAGTTTGGATCCACTACTAGCAAGCATGCTGTCTGATTAGTACCTTCCGTAGCCATAGCGGCGAGGACCACAGGCGCGGCCTTGACACTGTTCGAGACTTGAGTGGCGCCAGCACTACATTTGCGAATTAGTTCATCTGCAAAAGCCGGTGTTGCTGTTGGAAAGATGGTGGAACAAAAATTCTCTGATATTCATCAAATCCACTGTCAATTGGTGCTGAACACCTTGGCATCGGCAAACCTTCACTTTGAAAAAAGTACCATCCGGCTGAGCCTTCAATCGAGCACGAACTAACTTTTTGCACAGGCCGGGAATCAGCTCAGCACTGACTTCCCAGTGAGCAACATCGCGTATGACTTGTGACACGAGCGCAGTTGCGTTATGACTCGTCGACGAGGCAAAGCGGATTGCGTCTTGCCTGTAGTCGTTTTAGGATGATAGTCGATAATGAAGAACCGAGTAGAACAAATGAGAGTTGTAGTCTCCCCTAAGCAACAAATCATCTGAAGTTTTCTGGTAGGCATTAAGGATTCAAACTTTAAGCAAGCTAGGCTATCATCGAATCGTTCAAGAAAGCTGTATACACTGTCTTGTCCCGCATATCCCATAGCGGACGCATAATGCGCTCTCTCGTGCGCTTACCCATTTCCTCGGGTAAAGAGATGCCACATCCGAGCCCCTGCGCCTTAGGAAAAGTGGTGGGCCGATAATAAATCGGCTCGCTCATCGACAATGGCACCTGTTCGACAGCGCTACTACCAACGCTTCCTGCACTACCGCTTCCGCTTCCCATACTGCCACTTCCAGAACCGCTTCCACCCAAGGCACTGCCGCTTACAACGCTGCCGCCGCCAAGACCGCTCCCACCGGCCGCACTCGCCATTTCCACATTGCCGCTCTGCGCGCTTCCAGCGGAAGGAGTTTGGCTTCCTAGCGCAACACTGCCAGACGCATCAGTAGAGAAACCGGCCGTTTCGATATCTCCGCTTCCAACCACTGGCGGTGGCACTAAGAATAGCGCCTCTCGTTCCTCGGCTGACAATTGATGTACCACGAAGCGCTGTCGTGTACCGAACTTGTGATTGTTGGCGTAGTAGGGCATTAGATGAGTTTCTTTTTGAAAATTGGAAAGATTAAGTAGGTGAGATGAGTGTTAGAAGTGAGAGCGAACATAAAAGCGAAGAAGTAGGAAAGTAGTCGTACTCTAGATGATCTGACGGGGACAGTAGTTGAGTTAAAGTAGAGCGCTCAGAGTGGAAATTCCTGTCTTCTGCCACATAAGGCCCCACCAGGTGGAAAGAGAAAGGTAGGTGCTCGCAATGAGATCGGAACGGCGTTGTTGACCTTGCTTATGGGAAAAACTAAAGCCACATCGAAATGAGGAAAAAACTAAAGCTACAGATGTCTTTCTCTACACTTTCAGAAACATACAATCAGAGTAGGTTCTTCTCCCGCGGCAAGCTTTCCGGGTTCCGGTTCGAGGGTAAAGTAGCCGCGCGACGTCACAAATGTTTTGTGCAGTGCAAGCCAATTCAGAATGTCGTCAAGCTGAAATGTCTTTTCGTCATGCACTGTGCGCAACGACGCAGGTATGATATCGCCATCTGCACTCGGGAGTAATTCAGGAACAACAGCAACTTGTGGCACAGAACCATGCTTCGCTCTGCTTTTCCTGCGACCTGCAGCATGCGCCATATTCCGCCCGACCACAACCGACAAGAAAGGCCCAAATAGAACGGCTGCTCGTAGCAGCCATGTCGTTGTTGGTCCGTACATGGTTGAAGTGCGTTGACCTGTGAGCAACAGGTTACGCCTCACAGCAGTGGCGCAGATTCTACATCTTCCGCAACTTCATCCGGTGTTACTTCTATTTCAATGCAAAAAATCAGTGAAAATCTGTACTAGAGAGAACCAACGAAATCAAGTTTTGCTGTGAGGAACACTTTCTGATCCAATTTCACTTTGCTTGAATCGCGAAGGGGAAACGCGCCTCATCTTACTAGAAAGAAGAGTCTTAACAAGCTTCAAGCTTCTTCTGTACAACAGTCGTAGCATCACAATCTGTACATCCAGAAATTTATCTTCTGAATCTGATGAAAAAAACAATACAAAATCTAGTCGTCCCCACAGGCCAAACTCCATCAACCGCTCTCCGCCAACCCACTCTTCTCTTGCTCCTAAGTACACATTTAGCTTTCGCCCTGTAGCACCTTCAACGCCTCTTTTAGCGATTCTAAAGTCTCCTGACGGCGAGCCTGCTTCTCTTCCGGACTAAGAGCCTTCGGTGCGCATTCGTCTTTGAGAAGCGATTAGAGATCGTCATGTAAATAGACTTCTCGCTCTGTACCTAAGCTTTAGAACATCAATACTTCCTGTAGTGAAACTTGCGATCTAGTACAAAAAGTCGAAGTCCATCTTGATTCATAACTAACGATCCCTTGCTCCACCGCCTGCAGCTCTTCTTCTGTAAGTCTGACGTCCTCCTTTTCTTGCAAGAGCTGCGTTTTAAGCCGTTCACGCTCCAATTCTAGCATCTCGCCTGACTGAGACAACGCTGCGGTCTCGACACGACGACGGTCACTCAACTCTGTAAACTCCTCGTCGGCCTGCTTTTCCTCTTGTGTGAGATTCTGGACGAGAGCTTGGGTGTCGTGCAGAAGGAATGAAAGCAGTTAATCGTAATTTGTGAAAGAGGAATGTATGTATTGACATTGTAAACATGCAGCGAGAGATACAACTTGTCACCATAGCAGCTGTTTCAGCATGCCGAAGACGTTTGCATCCTCGCCCTGCATTGCGGTAACCGCACCATGGAGTTTCTTCTCGTTCGCACGCTCCCGATCCAGTGTCGCTTTGTTTTGTTGCTTCTCCGCCGCCCGCCCAGTCGTGTCCCTTTTTTGCTCCTCTGCTAGTAGGGAAAGCTGTCGCTTTGTCTTGTCTGAATTCAGGCCCTGCTCCGAGACGAGCGCCTCTGTAGTGGCAACGCGCGCTTGGAATTTCTTCAATTCCTTCTGCAGTTTTTCCTTCTTCTGGTCAGCTTTCTTCAGCGAGTCGCGACAGAACTGATCTTTGCTCGCATCCTCAGCCTGTTCCTGCTCTAGGCGCCTCACCATTTGCTTGATCATCTCAGCCACATTGTCGAAGGGGCCTCTGCTAGCACGTCATGAAGGGATAACATGAACACACGCTGGCTGATGGCTTTACAACAGGCATACTACCTCTCACAAGAACAGTAGTACTTGCTTCTACTCATCCAGTCTAGTACTTGTCTACCAAATTGAAGTCCACGTTGAAAGACTCCTTTAACAAAAACGACAACAAAAGACCTTACACTTTTTGCGCTGGTTTGTAGCGCGCTATTCTGGATCAGGGATGCAAGTTGTGGCGACACCTCGGATACAAATGTCAGCGCTTGTTGCAGCCGCAAAGAGTTGAAACCCACAGTCTGCAGAAAAGACAAGGCGTAGTCCCCATTTTTCTCGTCTCCGCTTTGCTTCAGCACATCAGCGTCGTCATCGTTTTGGTCGTCGGCTTCAGAATCGGTTTTGTCGGCTTCATCGGCAGTGGATTCCGACGCCCGGGTAGCGTCACCGACAACCTCTTGCTCTAGCGCTTGATCTTCCTGGTCTTCGTTTTCCATCGTCTCACCAGCCATTTGAACCTTCTCTGCACGCTTCGAGTCGGCCTTCTTCGCTGCCTGTGCCTGCGCTGTCGTCGATTTTGCTTCTTCTTCGTTCTCCTCCTTCTCTGCGTCCTCGCGCTTCTCCGTCGTGCCTTGACTCCCTTTCTCCGTCTTCCCCGCGACCTCAGCTTCCTTTTCCTCCTCGTTCGCTTCCACCGACACAGCTGCGTCACCCTTCATACTCGTAACCGCGTCTTCTAGTGAGGAGACCCGACGGCTCAACTCCGCCAATGCCGTTTTCTTCTCTTCTCCGTGCTTCGCGCACACTGCACGATCGTCTGCAAGTCCGCTCTGCACGCTTTTTAGTCCGTCGCGCATCTTCGCAATCTCTCTCGAAGCACGAGATGCTTCGACCCGTAGACTTTCGCGACTCTCCTGCAGCCGGACCACGTCGTCTTGTTGCACCGTTAGCGCCTCTTGCGCACTGCGGATTACGTCTTCACGCATAAGCTGGGTCGACGTGGAAAAAAAGTTTGGAATTAGAACGAATAACCTTGTCATTAGTGGTGCGCTAGTACTCGGAGTAATTAGTGGTCAGATAACCACTCTGAATCAACTGTGGTACCTTCTCCTCTTTATATTTCGCGATTGCTTTTGTTAGATCAGCTCGCGTTTGCGACTCGAAATTTGCCATCATGACCGTCAGCGCTCCTCCATCACCATTTAGTCCCTTCTCTTCTGCATTCACGCCACCTTTCTTTCTCTCGTGACGTGCCTGTTCCAAGGCTAACAGCGTTTTTGTCAAGGATGCGCGCTCCCGGTTAAAGGAGTCGCTTGCTGTTTTTGCGTCAGATCTTGCAGTTCTAACCCGTTCCTCTGCCGCAGTAACCTCGGAAGAGCTCTTTTCCAGTTTCGCCTGACCGGAAGATAGCTGCGCTTTCAGCGATGCGAGCGACTTCTCAGTCGAAGCAAGCTGATTCCACGCGCTTCTTTCCACACGCTCTTGCTCTTTTACATCTGCGGTACAGGTCGACAACAGCTTTGAAAACGTGGCTTCTTTTGCACTCAGTTCGTTTTTCGCGTCTGTGAGCATGCCTTGCAGCAAGGCAAGAACATCGTTGTGGTCCGAAGTACGCCCGCCGTGCTTACCTGCATTCTTCGTCCTGTGGCTTGTCGAACGAAGCCGCAGTCCCGCCGTAACCGCAGACCCCCACGCGAGGAACACCAAGGCGGCCCGCCGATGGGATCTAGGACTGGCCGAAAGCACCATACCGGCCGACCCCGCCATTTTTGTAACACAAACAAACTAGATATTCATGATCCTATCCGTGCCGTGTCAGACTTGAAAACATCGGCTCTCGTTCGTCTTCTTGTCCAAACGATAAACAGCAGAGTCCCTCGTTCTCTCAGAGTTCCCTCGGTCGGCCTACGCTCGGTAATATACAATTATGACTTCCAAAACTTTAACTTTTTTTACAGCCCAGATTTCTCTGCTAGTATCTCTTGCTACTTTTTCATATTTCTATATCATTGTCCTCTTGTGTACTCTGCGAGACAAGAGGACCGCAGCCAAAGGCGTTCCATACTTCCGGATTTCTGAGAGCAGAAGCGGGATCTCCAACATTAACTCCACATGAATATCCAATCCTGTTTACATCATGGGCGTCAACATAATGCTAATGCGAAGTTACGCGAATGGATCGTCATTCACCCGTGGATGTAAGGAATACACAACCCAAACCACGATCTGGTCCGGTGTTCTTCATATTTTAGATATGCCGCGTATTGGCGTGAGGGTGGCATTACTAGGCGTGTATGTTGCATTGCTCCCTGGTTTTGAGCGTGCCCGTTTTCGCTTTCTTGATGCGAACATTTCCTGATCGGATGGCATTGACCACTGAATATGCCCAGTTTTTTGACCACCTTTCATGGCAGAAACCTCTGACTTCGATCCCGTGCGCCGGTTGTGATCTCTGCTGAGCTTTCTCTTGAAACCACTTAATTCTGTAGATGATGATCCTATGCGGTCGAAAGACGGATCAGCACTGTTTTTACTACCGCCTGCGGTGGTATCGGATCCACGACGCGTCAAGATGAACGAATACGGAAGTTGTGAAGCATTTCTTTCTGAATGACCAAATTCATCCTCCTCCTCTCCTGTTCCACGACTTCCCCATGGCAGCGCATCGGCGACTACACGAAACAGTGCTAGTAGAAAACCCATGTCTAGAGGACATAACTCTTCGGTCACGCGGGCACGGCGTGTCCAAAGAATGAGCAGCATCTGGAAGGCGGAGAGAACGTATGAGACGACACTCGGAAGGAGGACCACAAAGTCCTCAAGAATCAAGCCGTAGAGAGACCACACTCCATTGCTCATCAGGTAAATCACACAGATTGACGCATCCAACGAAGCCGGATCGCGACTCTGAATTACGCGCGGCAGGTCGATCAACGGCGCCAGATTCAGGAAGGGGCTTTATAGAGGCAAGAGACAGGACAACCGATAAGGGAGTGTAAGGGTTCACCAAGTGATTTCGTGATGAAAATTCATAATTGACAGTTATCTACTTACGCACTTTTTACTCACGCAGTTTCTTTTTGCATCAACTCTATCAACAAACTCTAACATCAAGATTGAAATATTGGATCTTATCGAAGGAAAAGAAAACTAACTTTGTGCATTATGCAGTTTGCGAAGTGATTGCACTTCCAATATCTGTGCCTTAAACAGTCGACGCAATAATCGCTATCCCCACAAGCAGGAGCGAGCAGTAGTTAACGCAAATGAAGAGGACAAGGCCCAATCGCATAGAAAAAGAGAGCACGAAACCTATACGCCAGCTTTTTGACTTGCCAGACTCATCGTCACTTCCTGTCAACGCTGACCTAACCAATTTTGCACCTGTATTTTTCCGCTGCCTGATATCGAAGTTTTTGCACACTTCATGTGGCTCTTCTCCAATCTGGCGGCCGATTTGCGTCGCCGAGACCGCCGTTGGCACAACACTGTTGCTATCTGCACTTGCTTCACCATCTCCAAAACTACGGCCTTGATCAAAAAGCCTGTTGCTAGCCTCTTGCGCTCGAAACTCAGCATCATCTTCATCGACTCGCTCAGCAGGCAGGCCAGAGGTAGTTATGGAGCCGGTTGGACTGTCAACCTCGTTCAACGAAAATTCGCCCATTTCCTCTTGCAAGGACAAGTGCGTCTCGCTGTCGACGCTGTCGGACGCCGACGCACTAATCGCGACGAAAGATTCAAGATACCGAACCACAGAGAGGTAGAAGAGTAAAAAGAGGAGTTGAACCATGTTGTTCACAACGACGGGCTCGCTCCTAACCTGAATCCCATACGAGACACCCAGCACCGCGCAGACCAATTGCGTACGAAACATCGTGACTGGGAGTTTTCCTAATGCTGCCAGGGCTCTCGAGGCTACTGGACACAAGCTCGCGTGCGGGTCTTCACCGTCGTACTCGAATTCAGTTCCTTCCGTAGAGGTTGGCCAGAGGGCATCTACCCCTCTCTTGTCCAAGATCTGAGTTCGCTCCTCCTCATCTCCAGAACGGTCGTCTCGCTGTCCTATATCACGCAACTCCATATTTTCCGAAATCTGCTGCTCAGGTCCTCTAATTCTAGAAGCATCATCACCCTGGGAGAGGCGTGCCGACGACAGACCCAGGGCGCGTGTGGGTGCGGTCATTTCGATTTCCGCTCCTGGGTGTTTGGCTGTTGAATCTCTACCCAAAGATGGAACAGACGATTCCTGCTCGACATTGCCATCATCCACTAACTCGTCCAAGTCTTCTCCTGCCGCGAACGCTGCAACCTGCTGGTAGGGGTTCGCGAAGCTCCGAAGCTGCCGCACAGTGTTCACCATCGGAGCCACAACTGCTACCATGGACAGGAGTGGCGAAACAATGGACAAAATAAACAAGAGCTCCTCCTCAGGCGTGTCTTTGCATACGGCGGAAAAAAACGCGTACGGAACTACCGCACTGAGAAGCAAGAGAGCTGTACAGACGATACAATTTCGTCCGAAATTGGCCTGATGCAAGATTCTCGCAGCGTTCAAACTCCCACCAGGTCGCAGCTTGCCACCAACGTGGTCGTAGGCGTAACGTGGAAGCGCATTCCGTGGCATCTCCCTAATGCCACACCCGTACAGACAAGTGTCGCACCAAAGTCCACAGACTCTCACGGGCTTCACGAAAGCAGAAACGCAATATAGCATGGTTTCTTTACTAGGACTTAATTGTCGCAGATTACTTAGTACAACATGTGTCGAGCAGGATCTTTCCAGTGACCTCGGTCCATCAGTGATCTTTCTTCGGCAAAGAAGCACGCGTTGAGCGCTTGTGTTGGCAGCGCGGATCTGTGATAGGAAGCACCTGTTGTGCAAGAGTGAAGCGTTTACATGGTTTTTGGCACAAGAGCGAACGGCGATCAAGCTAAAAAGCCGAACACCAGAAAAATGTATAGCAGCTGTCCCATGGATTACCTGCTTATGTAGGACACCTGTGAGAGAGTGAACATCAAAGCGTGTTGGTTCATACACTCTGTCTTTACAAGAAGGATTCAAGGAGGATTCAAGTTCAAGGGCTTATTCAGATCAAAGGCATAACAAGAGGATGCGCATGCGCTACTACAAAAAATCCAAAGAGAAGTACAACAACTGGCTCGAAAATTATTCCCTTTGGCGTCTGTACAATTAGCCAGACGATTACGCTATACAATCCGTCTTCGTAAAAAATTGGACAAACCACAAGCACTTGATGTCAACGACAAATGTTTTTTGGCATTCGAACTAATGGCACTCTCCAAGGGACCGGCGATGGTCTTTTGATACAGGGTAATCTTAAAACTTTCGAACAATGCGTCTGGGTAATCACTCAGATATATAATCAAATTCGCGTCTATTCAAGAACAAGTTGAATACATCGATCGAGCACTACCATCTATAACATATCGTGCCCCGGCGGCTACCTCCCAGCATTGCTACTGGCATCACCAGACACTCTCTCCTTGAACTTCACTGCGAGCGACGAGGCCTTTTCAGAAAAGACAGGTTGTTCCGCCGTCTTTGCAGCAGGCTTCTCGAAGCGGAAAGCCGCCGTATTGCTAGCCTCAGTCGTCTTCTCTGCAGTTCCCACCGATTCAAGCAGCGTACGTCTCCGTATGTCGCGAACTCGTTTTACCAGCAAATGAAGCGAAAACACCGCTCGAGGGTCGCCACGGTTCCAAAGTCCATCCATGGCAGCTAAAACATCATGATCCTCGATGCCCACCTCGCTCAAGCCAGCCGTCAGATTTTCGCTACTGCTCGCGTCAGATTTTCTCTTGGTAGCACTACTAGTCGCAGCCGGTTCAGATTCCTCTGAGTTTGTCAAAGTGCTACCTCTCTCCCGCGCTTCCTGGTGGGAAGTGGAAGTAGTGGTTGCAGAAGACGTCCCGCCATTCTCAAGAGAAGCCTTTGCTGTTCTTGATAGTGATTTTGTGATTGACTTCCCGGTATCCGCCTGCTTTGGTTTTCTACTTGCTCGCGGCCGAAACAAGTATTGAAATAGCCTGTCCTGTGGCGGTTTTCCAAAAAGAGGCACTGGCGAAAATGGACTTCGGCTCCACCGCCCGTTCGATACATCCACGAGCAACTCCTCCTGTCGGTCCTCGTCGACTAAAATATCAACACCAGCATTTGATGTTGTAGTTCCTGCAATACTCATTGTTGATGTACTCGTCGTATCCGCCGCTCTATTACCACTTGCAGGTATTGAAGAGGCACTAGTTAAAGGGGAAGATGAAAGTTGCGTCCTATCTTGATCGCGAGCACTCTGCGTCTCGTCCCTGCTTGTCCTGTGCGCATGACCTATTCTGTCACTGGACGATGCAGCAGCAAGCGCTTCCTTTGGATCGACAATGCGTTCTACCCTGACGCGGCGTGTAAAAACTGGTTGCACTAAATGATTTGAAGATTCCGCGGTGCCACTTTTTGCACTTGTCGACGAAGCAGCTGTGGACGACGATATGCTGGTACTGCTCGTCCCTTCCACTTCTGCCTCAAGGTTACCTCCATTCTTTTCAATATCTAGCGAGGACGAGCGTGGGCGTCCCCAGCTGTGCAGATCGTGCGCAACTAGATGGCACATAGCCTCTGACTCACCCGCGCGCCCGTCTTCGAGGGAGGCGGCGAACAGACCCGAAGTTGAATCCAGAACGAAACCCGTGGGAGGCACTGGCTGGTAGGCGCTGCAGACATCGGCGGTGCTATGACTGCTGTGCTGTGAAGTACTGTCCTGCGCTGAGTATGTGGATGCTCCTGGCACCGACGATGATAGAGCACTACCACTTATTTCCTTTACTATCTGAGAAGTGGGTGCAATTGCAGAGGAGGATTTCTTTGTTTTCATGTCCGCAGCTATTAAGGACGCCCACATTGAACCGCTAGTCGTAGTCAACGACTCTGTGGTGGCTGCCGCCAATCCCGGTGTGTCTACGTCTCTAGCTTTGCCTCTGCCACTAAAGGAATTGTCGTGCGGATTTGAGGAAGATCTCGAACCTCCCCACTGCTCGTTACCTCCCAGTTCTCCTTGCGCAGTAGTACCCCTGTCATGATCAGTCCGCGACGACGGCAGCAAAGACCACGGAAGGGCAAGGAAGGACAGTGTTGTGGCGTTTCCTAGCAACCCTGTTTGGAGCTTTGAGAACCGATTACTCAACGCAGAAGTGAGCCATCCGAACGAGGACCCGCTAGACGTGGATGAGGAAGCTTTACTACTCCCAGTCATTCTCTCTTTTGTCAAGTGCTTACTTCTTCTTCTTCCTTCGGGTAAACTATCTTGTCCGTGTTCGTCGCTGCGATGCAAGAGGGTGGTCGCTTGAGCACTTCCGTCCCCCCTGAAAGCACTGGAAGCATCGCCATCTCTTGCACCCAGAGCCCTTCCGGTTTCAATTGTTGCACTCGCGCTTCCCGCACTCTGTGAAGCGCTCTCACCATGACTCGAAGCGGCCATCGAAGCGCTGCCCGTCTCCGGATCCACTGCACTAGTACTACCTAATCTACTAGTTCTCTCCACATCTTGCATTCCGGAAAGAACAGGAGGCTCTTCGAGGGCAGAAAGCACAGCCAACGGATTGGTGTACATGTCTGCAGTGCAAGGCGCCGCAAACTTCTGAGAGCGCCAATTGCTGCCAAGGTGTCCACCATGTTGATTGCTCCCGTAAGGCGAAAACGAACCGTACATCTCTTCCTCCAACATTCGCACGTTGTCCAGATACGTCGTCTCTAGCCACCTCGAGTTCGCGTGCCCTGCCTCGTCCAGAAGTCGCAAAGATGTACTCGTCACGTTCGTCCCGTTGGTGCCATTGATGTCCAAGTCGGGCGCTGGCGTCGTCGTCAAACCGGTCCATCCGTCGGTCGAGACGCCGGCACCCAAAACAGGCCACGTCTGGTTGCAGTAGCCGCCGCACCACTTGCCAGCAACGATGTTGGCGGCATTCAGGCAATTCCGTCCGTTGCCGTAGCTGAGCCAATCGCGAGGCCACTTGCACAACTCGCACCCGCAAATCTGGTTATTCGCCAAATTGTATGCAGGATCCTCCCGCGCGAACTCAAACAGCATAACCTCAAACGCGAAGCACAGACGCTGATCGCTGCACCGTCTACCCTGCGATAAGAAAGACAGGGCCTGCTGTCCCTCATAAGTGCGGCGGACGCATTGAACCAAGGCTGCACCTGTGGACAGAACGAAGTGGAAGATTAACATTTCAAGTTGACAAACTCTTCTTTCTTGATTTTGATGTCAGTAAAAAAGCGGCGGCAAAAAAATTCAGGATTGACACAACAAAAGTGAGTAATTGTAGTCTACTTCTAGAAGTGAACGATCCATCCTAGCGTTATTCGCGAGTACTTGTGGAAAGCAGCATGTTTGCCATGGAAGCGACGATCCTCGAGTGGTACGGCGTGCACATCGGACACTGATGATCGGTCGGTCGATACGCGGGCCCAATACAGATTGTGCTGTCTATTGTGGTGGTAGAAGTCGAAGTCGTACTAGTCGTGGTACTGTTCGCAACGAGAGCTGTTGCATTCGACGCTACCGTAACGGCTGTTGTGAGACAATGGTAACACGAGACTTGTTAAAGATGTATCACCTTATTCATAGAAAATGAAATTGTGGCATCACTATTCACCGACATTACTAATTCATCTTGAAGTCATGTAAGTATAACCAACGTAATGCAGTCAGACCCATTATGAAAACCATCCTCCCATGAGTCTAGTACACTTCGAAAAACAGTCTCTTTCCAACAGTAAAAAGTACGCCAGCTCAGTCCACAGACGGAGCCGCATGGATCACCTTCCACATAAGCGCGTGCATTCTGTTCTGAGCAAAATCCGACACCATCCGCCGATGTAATATAATTCATCGGCCACTGACATAGCTGACAACCACAACTGATGTCCCCTGCTTTCGCAGATAATCCCATTAGAAACGGCAACAGATTGGCCGGAATAAGCTGGATTGCATTGCACGCGAAACCGGGGTTAGCGCACAGAGGGTCCGTAGCTGAGTGTAGTTTCGAAAAAATATTTCGTCACTAAGAGAGAGCTGATAATGATTCCTTTCAGACACTATATTCTTGTTTTTCTTCGGCAAGAAACTACAGCACGCATCAAGTATGATAGCGGAGAAGTGCATCAACAACTACAGGTGCGAATACCCGCAAACGGCGTTCCTGCAAAGGTCTGATTAAGACAATCGGTAAACGAATCGACTGTAGTGATGAGAGGCGCATACGTTTCCGAAAGATTGGCTGCAATCCGCATGGAATGAAAGATGTGACTTGTGGGAAGACCAAGCTAGAAGAAGGAGGGATACGATTACGAGGACAATCTATTATTTGTTCTGGTATAGCTGATTCGACAGGATTACTTTTACTTTGTGAAAGATACCTGAAGTAGACATTGTCTGTATACTTTTGTCGTTATTAACACCACCACTTCATAAGTGAGTATCTTTCCGTCAAACTGCTGGCAAGCGACACTGCTAAAGCAGTACTCCCCGATACAGAGGAAGGCCGCTGAGTCGGTTGTGGTCGTTGTTGTGGTAGTTGCGACCGCCTCCGTTGACGACTCTTCAATCAAATCAGCATAAGGCTCAAAAGGATCCTCGTCATCATCGTCGCCGCCCTGTGTATTATTTCGTGGTTCCACCGTCAGCACTACATCAGAAGAAGTAATTTACGGAGTAGCTAGAAGATGTCGAGACTCCGAGATTGCGACCCTGCACTGCACGACGATTCCAAGTCTGCACTGCACGAACGGGGGGGTTGATTTATTTGCTGCGTAGACTCCTGGTTCTGTCTGCGCAGCATTACAAGACTGGTCCTTGGTGCTCCTGTCTCAGAGCCTGCTGAATCTCGTAACGAACAGTCGAAATATCTTCAAGGTTTCGCGATGATGGTGCTGCTGTTGTCGCAGCAGGCGCAGGCGTCGAAGACGGGAATTCTGGGTCATCGTCGTCCTCCCCCTTATTACAGTATGTTTTAAAAAACTACAACACTTTAATACCAACCTCTGCTTCTAAAAAACGTTTACATCAGAGATAGTTGTAGTTCCAATTTCAAGTTCAAATGATGGGTACTATACGATACATCGAACGAACATACGACATCAACAAGCAAAACAAAGCATATATGTAGATGTAAAAAACGCTTAGTACCCGTACTTTGAGGTAGTACCACACACCTCCGCAGCACCCAGCGGCGAAGGCAATTCCGCACGACATGAGGATTCGATTAACCGTGAGGTTAAACCGGATCTTACTCTGCTCTGCAGGAGAAAGCTCGTAAAACGGCTGGACAGGTTTATCCAAATGTAGACCTTGCGCAATCATTGACTCTACTGATTGTGGCGCGCCCGGCTGCTCAGCAGCTTTCAACCCAGGTTGGATACCCATGCTCGGATTGCGCACCGTCGTGTTTTCTGTAGACGTAGGTGAGCGGTATTATTGATTAATTACAAGCCGAGATGTTGAAAGCAGTTTTTACACCTATCGCATTTATCATGCATTTCTAAATTCAGTACTTGCAGCGAGATCGGGGTACTTCGGCGTCACCCTCGCAGGCGCCTTCTTTGTCCCGTAGGGTAGATATGCATCAGCCTCCGTGACATAGTTTCGGCCGATGATAATCGTAGTTGTGTCCGCCTTGGTGTTTAGAGCTTGCCGCACACGATCCTTACTCGTCATCTTGGCCTTTTCCTTGCCACCCTCTTTGCTCGCCCCTTTCCCCTCACCACTGCCATCTTTGTCCTTCGTTTTGCGTTCCTTCTTGGGCACCGCATCAGCAGCAGACGGGTCATGTTGCCCGTGCTGCGTAGAACCCAAACTGAAATCGTTGAACATTGTGTCGTTGTCTCCGTCGGCACTTCAGGTTTCATCGACAGCGATTAATCATTTTGTTAGTCTAAAGCCGCAGCCGAGACAGCGCCGCGGAGTCATGTTCAATTTTTCGCCACTAGAGTCGCTTTCGCAATGCGCTACCATTCTTCTGAAGGATACAACTTTTCCATATGTATCTCGAGTTTGCGTTAGAATCAACAAAGTAAAAAAGTTGGTACATGATAGACACTTGACAAGACCCAAAAAAAATCGGGAAAACGCTTTTCACAAAGACAACTTCCGAAACACAGCTTTTTTCGAACATAGCCCTTTCTTGTTCTGATATTTGCAAGACATAAGTTTCAATCTGTTCCAAAGACCACTTATGTACACGTTTGCAGGGAAATGTGGGAAAAGGGGAGGCGAATTTTCAGGCGTCCTGTGCACGGGAAACATCAATCACTATACAACAACGTGCCAACATCGCTCAAAACAGGTAACTACTCGTTTAGAACGGTTTCTTCTCTCAAGATGAACACGACTACGAAATCTAGTACGTAGAACAACAAATTTGTTCTGCACATTACAAAACTTTTATCGGGGTCTTCGCTGCGTTTGTTCTCTGTCCCAGGTGACAGCCCTCTTTCCCACAAGGATAACTTCAATCAACACCTATACACAAACTCAAAAATGAAAAACACACTCACCGCATCTATCCCCATATTTTCATGTCCACAGGAAACGCTTAGACAGTAAAGAGCCAAGAACTTGAAATAACTAGTGCAGAATCCACAGCGTAAACGACCCCCTAGTAGCGGATGTTTTTCTTTTCGTTGTTTGTTTCCCCTTAATTTACAGTTCCGGACCCCAGATCCGTGTCGGTGTAAGGGAACCTCGAAAAGGCGCATTAGCTCAGACATTTGAATTAGTGACAACATGCAAAGGGGGTGGGAAAGGTAAGCTCTTACAACAACATGCTCTGGAAGGTCCTCAAAAAGTGCAATTCGGAGGCGTACGCGATTCTCGAATTTGTAAAGTGCTGCGTCGTGGGTACATTCTTTCTCAAATTCTGATACAACTGAAGACATGCATATGAGGAATCTATACGTAATCAGAAAATCAAGCACAGTCAGTCTAATCAATCCTTTTCAATTCAGAACAATTTTGCGAATTTGATAAGTCGAAGACCTCACAGAGTGGCCTCTGAAATTTTTGCGAGAAGTAGTCTGATCGATGTAACTATACTTAACACAAGTTCTGCATGATTCTACTCCATTCAGTACCTTATCTCGTAGCAGCGAAACGTGTCTCTCTTTGCGAAAACCAAGTACAAAGTCGTAAGCACTCTATTCCAGTCATTATTTTCCTGTGAGAATCAAAACGAAATAATATTAGAACAATCTATTCCAGTAGCGTCAGAAGGTAAATCGTTAATCAAAGAAAACATTATTTTTCTGTAGTAAAAAGGTTGGTATCTGTCTATTATCCCAGCCTACACCAACCATGATAAAATTCGCTGATCTCTCTCCTCCTTGCATTCTTGAACATCTGGCTAACGCCATACGGATCAGGCCGTCTCCTGATCTCCTATAAGGCTTACGCACGCAACCTAGTTGCAATGGAACATTTGAACGATCTGAATATTTGGGGAGGAGACGAACCAAATCAACCTGAAGCGAAAACTAACCGCCTAACTGAAGCTGGGGGGGCCCAGAGGCAAGGTTAGGCAGGAAGATGGGGTCTCAATGCATGGTTCCGAAGAACGGAGGGGAAGAATGAGGGTAATACATCTGTAAAACCAAGTAGTGTTGTTGCATGTTGTGATCGTAGTCAAGTTTTGTCAGTCCGCAAGCGGCTGAACAGGATATGTGCATAGTATGAAGCCTGAAATTTAGAAAGCTACTTCAGTAGAAGTTGATCTGGGCAGAGGAAATCGCGCCCCAGATGCGGTGATTCTTTTTAAGAAAGTCTTCCTCAACAAATAGCTCCTGCGCGTTGTCGAAAAAGGTTGCCAGAGCACGCTCTCGGTAAGCCCGTGTCAGTGGGTCCGAGACGTTTCGTCGTGTGCAAATCCACGTGATATAGGAATCGAGGTTATGCTTCTGTTGGAACCGATGGTAGCCATGCGATATTGCTTGCACCACTGGGCACTTGCAGGAGTTCGCCGCCATCGCAAAGACGTCTCCGAGGTTATCCATGTGTAGGACTAATAAGTCATCTTGCAGGAGGTGAAGCCAGAGCTTCTGCCCTACTGCCGCAGCCAACGCCTCGAAGATCCCAATATGCATTTTCTCATTTCTGAGGAAACGCGGCAGCTCGGTGATTCGCAGGGACCATTTGTAGTGGCCTGAAGAATGGGCTAGGTAGCCCCCTATTTTCAAGTGATGGCTGTGCAGCTTGTCAAACTGGCCTGAACGTAACTTTTCATTTAGGCCTTCGAAGTCCTCCCCGGCGGCATCTGTGTACCCGTGTGACAACTGCTTGCCTACTCGGCCTTTGCTGATTTCGAGTGGCCGAATGAAGTCTAGCGCCCATGTCATGAGCTGCACTCCGCTCGACGCACGCTTGCGCTGCGTCGTGTTACGCTTGAACTTGTCGAAATTCGAAACAAATCTGTCCTGGCTGCGTGCATAGAAGAGCTTCACTCGATCTAACTGTGCGCAGTGACGGCACAGTCCGCGAAAGCTCAAGAGTAGATCTAGTGAGATCTGCTTTGCTTCGAACTGTGAAATCAGGGTGAGGCCGTCTCTCTTGCACTTTTCTATCTTCAGACGGTCTGGGATGATCAGCAGTGTCGCGTCCGGGGTCAGCGTATATGCGAGGCCCAGGACGACCAGCGAGCGCTGGAAGCGATGGCGTTGATCTTTCTTTTCTTCTGCTTGTTGCCAGCCCGCAAGGTGCAGAAACAGATCCACCAATTCAAGCTGGGCCATTAAGGCGCCTGGCTTGGCTTGTATCTGATTGTCATCGATATACATAGTCGCGATGACAAAAAGGATAGCATGGCATATTAGCTGGATGATCTCACTACTGTTTACAGCTTCGTGAACTGATGAAAGTGCCCCAAAAAGAGCTACTTTGCTTTTGATGAGGAGCCAGCGTCGTGAACCTCCTGGAAAAAAGGCCGTGGCGAAAGATCCTTCCGGGAGGTCTTCGTCCAGCACCCGGCGCGGGACCGCAAAAAATGCCGCATTTTCAGCCGGCACCTTGGTCGCATGCTGGTAGTAGTAGCCGGATTTGTCTCTCTTCCCTGAGTATGGGATGAATGCGTAGTCATCTGGAAGGACCCCAGGGAAGTCTTTAGAGGTGAGCTCACTGGGCTCTTCCTCATTCGTTTCGGGTGGAGCACGAGGATCGAGGATGTTGTCCCGAATTTCTTTCTCGGTGAGAACGTCCTTCTTTGTGTCGTCTCGCGATTGTAGCAGCAGAGGCCGCTTCCGCCAGTGTAAACGATCTGACGCCAGGGCGCACGAGACTTCAAGTGCAGCACGGCTACCCAACAGCCGCATTTTCTCATGCTGGATCTGAAGTTTATTCTGCGAACGAAAATCAATGCAGGCTCTCACCTTATTTGATTGAGCCACTGGGAAAGCCTTCGCTGCTCCTACCGGCGTCAGCTCGTTTATGGGAAGAGGCTCCCATAATTCCTTTTCTATCATCACTTCCTTTTGTCGCCATAGTTCTTCCACGAGGTGTTCTTCACACCAGTGGTCGCCACGCGGAACACTATGTTCTCTTGAGGCCATCGCCTCCGCCGCCTCTTTCTTCGCCTCCGGAATCTCCACGTCGAGCAATTTCCAGAACCCGCACGGCAAGATTTCGCCTGACATTGGTATGCCTGCCGCGAAGCGCCTGGTCCAGTCCAAAATTTGTTGCTTATTGCGTTTGATTACCGGGTCGTAACATTCAGCCCTTTGGGCCGCTTTTTGCAAGCAGACATCCATGAACACGATGCTCTTCCCTTTGTACACCTCTTGGCAATGCTGCGGCAAATTGGACTTGAGGTGGTCGTTTGCCGCCTTCGAGTTCTGCGCCATATGCAGCAGCCAATTGCCGATGACTTGGCATCCTGCCACGATGTCTTGCACCTCTGAGCGCTTGTTGTAGTTAATTGTATTAACAAAGTACTCCGGAAGGAGGGAATGGACGCCGTAGCTTCTCTGATCATCTACTGTCATCGAGTGCTCGAAGTCCACTTCTTCTTGCTCGTCCAACAGGATGCCCCGACCAGTTGCCTCCGGCTTGTAGTGGTTGAGGGTCTTCAGGAGCAACAAGGGCTTCTTGTCCATGATTTTCGGTGGTGCTCGCTCCACCGGAGAGATGGGAATGTCTAGCGACTTACTCGGGCTAAGGTCCGACTCAATATCTTGGTAAGATACCTCTTCCGCCGCCGGCGCCTTCGACAGCCGCTTAGCTGGAGCTGGAGGGGAATCATCTTCCTCCTCCACTCCTCCATCGACCTCCAGGTCCAAGCGCTGTCTCCGTAGACTCTGGCGCCCTTGGTCTGCCTCCGGGGCAAAAAGTGCTCTTGAAGAAGAGGCAGCCGCCGGATCCGACGGTCGAAATTCGACTCGTCGCAACTGTTCCGGGGTGACCCTGATATCGAACCGCGGTTGGTGAGGGGTAACGGGTGCGTCCTCCAGCTGGATGTCCGCTAATTCGTCCAATACCATTCCATGATCGTGTTCTTCTTCCGTGGTCGCTAGCTCCTGTGGCATGGAAAAGCGACTGTATTGTTCGGAAACCAAGTTTCTCTTTTCTTCTTTCTGTTTGCCTTTCGCAAAAGCCTTGTAAAGCGGGTTTGTTGCCTCTGCAACTTGTCCCGGCTGTCGTTCTTCCTGCTCAGTGAACTCGCTCCACTCTGGATCCGAATCGAATTCCTTAGGTGGAGCTGGTCTCACCAACGGACCTTTGTGGTCTGGGGCTAACACGCTGCGTGCAGTCGGGAACTTCTTCTTCAACGCCACTGGGTGGCCCCACTGGGAATCAGATTCTGATTCGCTGGCTGACACGAGACCTCTGTGGCGCATATTTTGTTCGCGACTGCGTTTTTCTGCGAAGTATACTTGCCACATCGGTTCTTCACGTTTTTTGATCTGCTCGCGCTTTGCCGGCGTCACGTGAAAGTCTCCGGGGAACATATTGTTCTCCCGGCGAAACCGCCGCTCTTCCGGCGTTTCGTATTCTCCAAACACCATCTTGACTGGGGTGGGGTTTGGTTATCTTACTTGGATATCAAGACCGTTGTTAGTTGTTGTATGCCTCCAACTTTCTTTTGCATAAGTCGTAACTTCAACTATCAAATTCAGCTTTTTCCACTTCTTTTTCACTTTTAAGTTTCTAAGTGCCGCCAAAGTTCTATTGTTGGCAGTAAAGTAGAGCCCTTGGTGCTCATATGCCCTAAGCTCGAAACCAAGATCTGCGACTTGTCCACGATGTTCACAAGTGTCAAAAGCAGAAAAAACATACAAGCCTTTAAGAGGGCCTGCCCCAAAGAACTTGCTTATACTATTTTGTGAATATCTTATCGATGAGACTTCGATCTCGATAAAGGACATCTTAAAATCCATGAAAGGGAACCTGAGTTCCTCGCCTGGAAGTTGAACTTGAGGAGCTTGATGTGATTCAGAAGTCAGAAAAGTTAAAGTGACCCGTGAGCAAGGGATGATTTTCTTTCCCGCTCTGAGTTAACTTCCTAGGTCTAGCGGCTTGTGATCCAGTCAACCAACCGATCAGTTAAATTATGACTCCACATCGAAGCGTTCGCGAGCCATGGCCTACCTCAGCGTGGAGTATAGGGCTTGTGTGCTTTATTTCTCTTTTTTTTGGGGGGGGGAGGGTGGGTCAAAAATTGGTGTAAAAATTGCATGTTGTAAGTTGACCGTGGTCACTTCAGTGGGGAAATCTCAAGGATGGGCTCCGAGATTTCCATTTTCAAGGACTGGTAAAAGACGGGAAGGTGTGGGAACAGTCTGAGTGTACGTACTACTCAGGTGGTGTTCAACAAACTGCTCTAACCGAACTGACTAAAATGCACGTAAAGATAAACTTTTGTAAACAGGAAGGAAGTATGTTCTTGGGCTTTTGTTTTTTTTTATTATTTTGGGGGGGAAGGATATATCTGCAAGGGAACTCTTATGATGCTAAACGTTTCAATTGCTCTTGCGATAGTCTTCCGTTCAAGTATCTAGTGTTTAGAAATTCTAACTTCTTCAAATCTCCTCTATGGGCGTTCCCGTCCGGGCAATTAGCTCCTGAACAAGAACCCTGCATCCATTTCGTGCATACCCATTCTTTCGGGAGAGCATCTCCTCCTCCTTTCCCTTTTCCTTTCGGTGTCGACCTCGGCGGAGTCCTTTCTCTACGTACACTTCGAAGATTCTTGATTTCTGCCTCCATTTGCTTTAATCTTGTGCTCATGCGGTCATGTACTTCTTTCATCTTTTCTTGCACTGCCCGTTCTACTGCTTTGCTCGTAGCTTTTTCCATTGCCAGCCTTCTTCGTTCGTTCTGCATCTGCTGGACAAAATCCGGAAGAAAGTTGGTCGCTATCGTTGCGCGCAACTGTCTCTGCTGCAGGTCATCCCCCGCTTCTACTGGAACTAAGTTCTGTAAGTTTATCTTCATCGTGCTCATGAAGATCTCGTATACACTTTTGATGTCCACTTTCATTTCGTCTGATTTCGGGTCGAAAGACCCAGTTATCGCTCTGGATACCGCATCCATAATAGCGCTTGCGTGCCTATCTTCCAGGATGGCGGCACATCTCAGCGCCGCGGTTAACGCCATAGGATGCAAGTTCAATGCCGAAGGTGAGTGGGTTAGCTTCTCGTACGTTCTGGATGCTAACTGCCGATGCACAAATAAATATTGTTGGGAAGTGCATTTGTATCGAATATTTTCGCAAGCGTTCGCTACCAATGCAGTCTGTGCATCTGTTGCGATGCCTAGTCCTTCGTTCTCATGAACTGCAGCCTGCCTCAGCATGTTCTCGCTCATCGCCTGCATTGCTGCTAAAGCAGCTGCTTGTGGTGCTACGTCTGCCATTTTATTATAATTCGCTGCTGAAATTTACGCTTAGTCTAATATCTTAAACGGAGGAAAGAAAAGAAAAAATGTGACTAACTTAGTGTTATGTGAAACTACGACCGCCCAAAGAAAAACAAAGCCTGGTTGTGGTAACAGAGATTCTCAAGTTCTGACCACTCAAACAGGAGAGAGGGGAATGACAACTGAGTCAAGGTCAAGCAGAAGGGGGGGGAGGGGAAAGGGGAAGGGATCTAACCCGAATTTCTAGCACCTTAGGCCGGACCATAATCGGCCACCGCCAGGCACAACGAAAGGAAGATCAACCCAGCACCTCCCAAGAGGATGAAGACCCCTGCAGACCTCCTGGTGACGCAAACAATTTTGCTTTACGAACTGGCCAGACAAAAGCCACCGAGTCCGGTAGTGCTCTGGCGTCTCCAATGTATCTTTCTGCGCTCTGCAGAGAGTCCCACCTTCCAATTACTCTTACTTCTTCGTTCGAGGATCCAGCATCGACTGCCGACTTCGCCCCTCCGATCCTCAATGAATGCAAGAAGAAGTCCTTTTTAACTTTCTCTGCATCTTTGCACGCATGCGGCTTCTGTGTAGTAACTTGTGATGATGAAGAAGAGTGCTCATGTGTCGCAGATACGTGTTGTTCCAGATTCTGACTCACCTGTTGACCCGGACCTAATCCGGCAAAGAGCAGCAATTTTTCCAACAAAATTGCCAGCACCCTAGCCTGCGTGAAAGCGAACAGCGCGCACACTTCATCTCTGCAGACGCACCTCGGGCAAAATTTTATGATCCTGGACGCCAATGTTGGCGCCCTTTCACAGCAGCAGCATAGATCTACTACTTGGGGCGCAGCTGCTAGATTGTTATTTTTGGCGGACACTACTATCAGTCTCACCCAGCCATGAAACATCTTTCTGGTTGCCGTTGACGCCTCATCTAGCCGCATCATGAAAAACCAAGCAAATATGCAAAATTGGAGGAAACTTGTTGCCGAGTATTGCTTTCCACCCGCCTCCAACTTCGCCAGCGGCTTCTCCGAACACGCCAAAACCATCACCAGCAGATGGGAAAATCTAACTCCCTGCCTTTGTGCTGTAATCGGTTTAGCACGCCAAAACAACTTCAGCACTTGCGAGAACGTTTTCAACGTCTGTGCATGCAGGCTCACAATGAGCTCTGCATAACACTTAACGTTCTCAACGTACTGGGCTTTGGATTTTGTAAAGTCTCCACATTTCTGGAATGCTTGTGCCAAGAGCCTAACCGCAGCCGGAGATAAGAACCGCGGGTGAGCATCAAGGTCTAAAGCCCACATAATTTCCACATACTTCCTGAACGCAAAGCGATACGCCTTGAGCGTGGATCCTGCCAGCCTTGACTGCTCATCGAATGGAGACACTCCTTTGTCCAATTGAGACATGAATACATCCAACCCACTTGCCTTCTGCAGGAGTGGCTTCGGTGGGTGGTTGGGCGGGATTAGTGCTGCGTTCTCCTCGCATGCACTCTTCATGAATTTCAGGGTTGCCTTCCAGTTCAGAAGGTTCCCTGGACCTAGCCGCCTGGCTCCTGATGGAAGGCCCGCTCCAACTACTGTCTGGGCATTCCTACCGGGTCGGACAAAAGTCCTGTTCCCGGCTTCTATCGGCTTGTTCAGCAACGTTGAACTTGAACACGCTGTAGGGTTCGTGGGCTCTTGTTGATCCAAGCTGTTGTCCAAGTAATAGGAGGACGATGAGGCACTCGCTGAGAGTGCTGGCATCACATCCTGTGCCAAAACATCTTGTTGATGGACTTCTTGCATATCCAAAAGAGCGACTTCCACCGCTTGACTAGTAGCCGCTATCAACGGGCCTTGAGAGGAAGCCGCCGCGGTAGCCTGCTGAAAGCTCGCGATTTCTTCGTCTTCTCCTTGCAGAGGTAAAATAGGAGGTTCTTCCTGTGCGGCGCTCTGTGGTCCTACCGAGAAGGCCTGCAGCACACCCTCATCGAGCTCGGCGTTAACGCCTAGATTCGGAAATTCTTCATTTATTCCTGCCGTCGGGGCCGGAGGGGCGCTGGGCGGAGATTTCTTCTTCAGCAAAACTAATTGGTCTTCGAATGACCTCTCCGGCCTCTTCTTGGGCCAGTTCGTAGCTTCTGCAGACGCGTTTCTCTCCCAGCGTCCCGGCATCGGTTCAATATTTTCTACTAGGGGGGGAGGGGGGAAGAAAAAAGTGAAGCAAGTTGATTAACAACGCACACTTATATCAGACTAAGAGCTCCTTGCCTATATTCCAAATTTCGAGATCTTCTTATTTCAGATCGCACGATAGATCAGCTGCCTAGCCTATTATCCCAGCCTACGCCAACCATGATAAAATTCGCTGATCTCTCTCCTCCTTGCATTCTTGAACATCTGGCTAACGCCATACGGATCAGGCCGTCTCCTGATCTCCTATAAGGCTTACGCACACAACCTAGTTGCAATGGAACATTTGAACGATCTGAATAATTGGGGAGGAGACGAACCAAATCAACCTGAAGCGAAAACTAACCGCCTAACTGAAGCTGGGGGGGCCCAGAGGCAAGGTTAGGCAGGAAGATGGGGTCTCAATGCATGGTTCCTCATTTAGGATCTCCCGAGTCGCAATTTGTCCATTTCACGTTACCTGAGACCTTAAGATTTCAATTCTTGATCCACGGTAACAGACGAGGGAGGAACGAGATGAGGAACTTGAATTGACTGATTCTGTATTTGATTCGGGGGAAACAAGGCGCAGGCGTCCTGCTGTCTTGTCCTCTAAAAGACTGGGGAAGGCTCGGTCCGTCAGGCCGATCACTCAATCCAAAAAGTGAAGCAAGTTGATTAACAACGCACACATATATCAGACTAAGAGCTCCTTGCCTATATTCCAAATTTCGAGATCTTCTTATTTCAGATCGCACGATAGATCAGCTGCCTATTATATCGCGCACAATGATAATCAATCCCAAATGCATTACACCCCGAATATGTCTCGCGTTGGCTTACGTCCTTGCGCAGGCGCAGGGTTGCCAAAACGGTCTACGGGCTGAGCAGCGCCTCCTTCTCCGCCTGCTCTACGATTCGCTGACGCGGTTCTCCCATTCCGCATTTTGTAGTAGTCGTTGACGCCCTCATTCGGACCGTCAAAGCCACTTGCTGGTCGCGAGACTTGCCCCGGGGCCGCGAGTGAGACTGGTTGTCCCTTTGCCACACGAGCAGCTGTCGTTGATCCTGGCCTAGACCTATTCCTCCCTTGTTCTGAGGAGGCTCCGGCCTTTGAGCTGCCCATACTGTACGGATTGAAGCTGTCGTCGGCGAGGTTAGGTCGCCCGCTCGTAGAACTTCCTCCCGACGTGAGGTTTCGATAGCTACCAGAGCCGGCCATAGGTCGTTGCGACACTTCTGGTGCTCCTCTAGTGGCACTACCCGCACGAGAGTCGGATGCCATCAAGTTCTGCTGACTATGCGGATGCGCATGCTGACTTGGACCGCTCAAAACGGTAAGAGGGCCTGAGGAGGAACTGCTGGATACATTGTTGCCGCCTGCGGATGCCTGTCGTTTGGAACTGCTGCTTCGCTCGGGCGACTTTCGCATTAGCACTTGCGCTGATTTTTCCATGAAGCTCGCGCCTGGTGGCTTTCCGCTGCTCAGAATCTTGTCCGTTTTCTTGCGCAGCGCGTTTAGTGCTGCCGAACTCGGCCGTTCGTCGACATTCCAACTCTCCAAAAGTTGTTGCGTCTTCGACTTTGATTCGGGCTTGCTCTTGGAGCCGGCAGACGACGAAGATGAGCCGCCGCCCTGCACGTTCCCCTGCTCCATCCCGGGAACGCGGCCAGCCACGCCTGTTCGATACGAGTACCCGCCCATTCTGTTCTGCGCGGAGCGCACACCTTGCGTCGAGTCGGCGTTTGAGCGTGCTGACTCGAGTTCATAGGCCGTGTCGTCGGCTTGGTTCAACCGGCGACGCATACGCCGGCTTGGAGACGCACTACCGACGCTCTCCACGTCATGGAATTCTCCACTAGGTTGCTGCCTCGCGCGACCGCCCGCATCGCTTCGCCCGCCGTCCATCGAGTTCTTGCGTGACCTGCCGCCCTCGGACCCTGGGCCACCGACGCTGCCATCCCGACGGCTACTTCGATAGCTTTTGGACACCCCAGCCCGCGATGCTTTGCTCGGTGATTGTGAGCGGCTTGATATGCTTCCGTCCTGGGACCCGCTATTGAACTGCCGTCCGATGCTGCTCTTCATTTCTTCCTCGACCCTATTGATTGTACTGGTGACAGTGTTTAGAGACGTCGCCGTTGTATTGTTCTTGCTCATCGATGCGCCGTCACGGCTCTTCATCTTCCGTGGAGGCACCGTCTGGAAGTCGTCCCAGCCCATTCGCGAGGATTCTGAATTGAAAAACAAGATCATGATGTTGCGCAAAGCTATTTTGCACGCAAGTCTCAATCTGCTTGTGCAAATAGCAAAAAAGTGGTGAATGCATACGGTGTGCGTCAGTGGACGCAGAGACACTGTTAAAAGCTAACAAATCTGTAGCAATTCAAGAAGCCTTTATGTGACGAGTACTGGATCCCTTTCTCTGCTTCACAGCTCCAGCATTAATCCCGGTAAACATGTTATCCGTCAACCCGTCTGTGCTGCCTGGTGAGCTCGCGCGGAGTTCGGCATCTAGGTTTGCCGCACCAGACCGGAAAAACGCTCGCCAAACAAACGTGCTCAAAAAGAGTCCTAAGACACCTCCAAGTATCGCACCTACCAGTGCTATGATGTCGAGTCCAGTCGTGTCGTTTGCTGGAGTAAACTCTGTCTTCACCTGTTCACCCTGAAATCCACCGGGCACAAAGTGTGGCATTGCACAACCACGCGAGCTCCGCTGGAGCTCGTTCCAAGTCCCTTCTTCACATTGGACATTCAGCACAGTACCTCAAAGCAATTGTCAAAATTGAATTGTGGCTGCGGAAAACTGTATCTTATGCTTCTTCTTTGATACGGATCAACAAATTCATTTCTCTGGCCTGCAACATAGAGAGTTTAGAAGAATAAATCAGCAGATCAAAAGGTATATCGATTACTATCTGCATCTGCGCTGCAGTGTAGCTCAATTCTAGTCCCGTGTGCTGGTGGCGTCGGAAACACTACTGCTCGAAGCCCGCTCCCGTCTAAGCCTAACGTTGCTGTTATCTTCTCATTGTTCAAACGCAGGAGAACATCGAGTTGTGTCGATGTGGGTAGATAATATACCGAACCACACGACTGATGGAAGGAGATCGACTCCTCTTCGCCTACTTGTAGCGGATCTGTCGCGCCGAAGCCCGCTATTGCCCCAGTGAACACCTCATCGCTCCCGTCCCATCTCTGCACAAGCAGCTCCTTCCCTCGATAAGCTGGAGAAACAGCCCTGACGAAGAGTAGGACGAAACAACTTTGACTTATAGAGGAAGATTTACGGTAAAAGTGTTCACGCTACTAGGAATTGCTCACGCTCTATAATCATGGGAAGATCTACTAGGGTGTACATCTACATCAGATCAACAGACATAAAGATTCACCAAACATGTATAATTCGAAAGCCTATTTCAATACTGTTTTATCTTGACGCATTCGACTTTGGTGCTCCATGACGCAAACCAGGCTTCGTAACTAACAGAGTTTGCCGGGCATCCAAAATCTGTCCCAGCTTCGTAAATGCGTTCGTCCGCACAGTAATACTCATCGCGTACTGTTGAATTTGATGTTTTAGAGAGAGATAGAATCGGACAGCACGTTTCTCTTGCTACCTACCATGACTTCTTCCAGCTAGCTAGGTGAAGGAAGTGCAATATTTAGAAGTCTCCGACCTTGATCCGAGAACAAAGAGCATGAAAAACATTCATGGAATAGAAAGAGCTAGTAGGCAAGTACCACTGGTCGACTCGCCGAACTGACACTTGTTGGTCGTCGAATTGAACCCAGCGTATGGCGTTCGACACCCGCACGCATCGAACGCTTCGGCGTCATCACACGGAGCTTTGTACGGCAGAGAGCTCAAAGTCTGCAGTGTGAAAATTATATGGATGCAATATAATGCTCTACGGACAGGGGCAACATTAGTTTGCGCAAAATCCTGAGATTTATGTCGCACTAGACAGTCTCCAAAACAAAGCAAACTTCATCTACCTTCCGCCTTCCATATTCTTGCCCCCGCTGTGAATTCACCATATACTCAAGACTCGGTGAAATCTCCTCTAAACACGCCGCATCTCTGAACCTGTAGTTGTAGATTTATCACAGATTAATACAGAACTGTTGTCCAGTCTACGTCGTCTACTTAATTTTACGACAAGATAGTTAGTTCGGAAGTTAGTTGCGCAAAAATAAAGATCCAAAAGAACTCAGTTTTTACCATTTTGCTTCTTCAAGCCGCCATCCTTCCTCCGTAGCGTCCTTCAGCATCAGCCGAAAGACGGTTCCTTGATACGGTACGTCCCCCATTTTGCCAGAGATGAGAAGGACACACTTATGTGCTAGAGTGTTAATGTGTCTTCTCTATCAGCCTCTCCGCCAAGTGCACTTTACTTGAGCACAACCCACGTGTGCTTTACTTTTGTCGAATTCCAGCGCGCCCTACTTTTGTGTTTCGTGTTTGCTGGATAAGCAGTGGATTTCGGTCAGGCCCACCCGCGGTGGCAAAACAGCGCAGCAGCTAATATCGCTCAGGAACGTGCAGTGTCTGCAGCCTGTGTCCCTCCGCCTGCGACCCAAGAGAATTCGCAATCGACACTGCCGAATACGCTCCAAAGTTAGCGACGACACGTCAGAAGATACGAAATGAGTACTCTCCGTGAGCGTCCAATTCGCTCCATGCACCTCCCGGACACGCGTTTCAATCACGACGTGATATCAATACACCCCAAACGGGGAAGCCCCGCTCATCGCGGGATCCGACAAAAATGAGACATGTTTTTTTCAGTGCTGCTACTGGTGAGTCAGAAGCTGCCTACAAGGATTACTTCGTACGTTAAGCAATAAATTTGGCGAGGACACAGGGAATTCTTGCTGCAAGATATGGAATCAGTTGTTACCTCTCGCGGGCGAAATGTGCTCTAAATTTTTCGAGACGACAAGCCGGCCAACAACACCCTTAAACGACTCACATCTACATTTTTTTTCATCTACTTACCACACCTGCTGAGTTTCAATCCGTATTTTCTTTCATCATGTTCTTTTTCGCCCTTTCTCATAAGCTCGAAGTCGAGTAAAAAAATGATTACGAGTTGTATCAGTTAAACGAACAGTTTTTCAACGTGTCGAATATCGCAGTTAAATACGACATTTCTACTCTGTCCTCGAATTTTCACACTTCTCGACACTGTACCCTCGGATGTCACCACTCATTCTCTCAACACATCTGACTGTTGCCTGTTTACAACAAAAGAAAACCCAAAATGCTTTGCTAGGACCATGTCTGTCTCACTCTCGACCGTTGCCTCTCTCTTTGACCTTTCGATTTCTCCTCTCAACAAATTGGTAAGTTTCTTAGGCTGGCGCTCCATGCTTCAAAGAAGCCACTTATTAACGAAGTAGATTTTCGTATTCTACTCTGTTTTCGATAGACACTTGTCATCATCCTTGATCGAATCTTTCCTGAAAGTCTGGTCCGAAAATATTTCAAACGGAATCTTATTCCTGGGTTTAGGGAAGGGGAGTTCGTCCCATTTTCTAGAAACAACGAGGGATGGGGAAGTAGTGACGTTTCATTCCATCAATCACTCGCAAGCTTATCTAACAGTAGAACTGCAGTGTACTCTTTGAATCCATCGGGCTCCTATAGCTTTGAAGCAACTCCGGACTAGTTCGAAGTAGATGTAGACAATCACCAAATTGCTTTCATTGATTTATCGCACAAGCATACTGGATCACTCTTCTTCGAGCTATGCATCCTCGTCTGAAGAGTCTGAGAGTTCGATAACGCTTGCAGACGCAAGCGGCTTCTTATCACTCACGCCTCGAGGGGGTCCGAACAGTGAACTTTTAGCATCTTTCTCGAGAATGTCGCTTCTTTTCGGAACAGTTGCCTCCTTCTTCTGACTCGCGGTGTTAGCTTGTTTTCCGTCCTCGTTTCCTTCTGGCTCGCCGCACTTGATATCCTCTATCGCGAGAGCCGGAGACTGCGGACCGATCGTCGGACTGGATGAAAATGATGTAATAGAGACATCGAATGAAATGGGAACGCTAGCGCCTTGCTCCGCTCCTGTCGGATCTCCTCAGCGAACTGCGTCTTCACCGCGTGCAGTCTTTAGAACTATATCAAGCGATGACCAACAACAAGAGTGAAAGTTGATACCTACGGGCTACAATAAATTATGAGGTCAGCTGTACAAGAAATGGAGCACAGGCCAGATGGCCATTATCCAAAAAATTTGACCTAGTAAGAATAGAAAACGATTTACATACGACGTCGCCATAGTGCAAGAACTGCAGGTAGATCCGCTGTAGTGGTTTTGGTACGGCGCCCGTGGTCATTTCAAATATCAGGGGGTCTGCGCGCGTGTCTTCGAATGATGAGTACTCGTCGTCCGGCTTGGCCTGTTTTTTCTGCCTCTGCCGACTGGAGGGCCAGGCGTCGCGACTCTTGGTTTCATCGTCGCCCGCTTTACGGCCTCTCTTCATCTTTGGCGCGGTTGATATAGCAAGAGCTTCTACGTCCTACGCAGCTGCAGGGCTCACGCCAATAGATTCCAAGCCCTTCAGCAACTCGAGACGCTGGTCTTGCAGCTTCGCAGGCGCTTCTAATCTGGGTATCTTGTAGACTCCGGAATGAGTATACCAAAGAACGCAAATCCGCTCACCTTTGAATGCCTCTGTAGCGTGCTGAACCCTTCCTGAAAAGAAGAGCGCGCCCGCAAGCCCTTCATCCTGTATTTTCGCCTTCGTGCAGTAATAGTTACCTTTCACCGCTTTGCCGCTTTTTGCATCCTGGAAAGAGCCTGGCTCGCCCACTGCTAGACTTCCGTCTGACCTTCTCGGGGACGGGTATCCATCAGCGCCGTCGGCTGCGATAAACAAACGGCCGCCTTCGTAGTCTGCAAGACAGAACGCAAGCGAGTACATATCCGGCTGGTTTCCTGCGTCGACGTGTAAAGCGGTGAGAAAGCTGTAGTTGACAGTCATGCTGGTCCAGTTTTTTGCGAGAGCCCAAGCCGGCGAGTCCGGTTCTGCCGACCTTTTGTTCTCCGTCGCATGGGCGGCTTGAAAGCCTTCTGGTCAATATGATCGCGAATCCGGGTAAGCAGCTGTAACAGTAATAAGCCTCGCGCGGTCTTCGTCCACTTACTGATCTGCGCACGATATTCCGAGAAAAGCCGCACCGTGGCGCCCAATGTGAATGCCTTGAGCTTTTGTTAGAGGTAGCAAGCGCCCATCTCTTAGAATATCTTTTAGCTCTTTACAATTGGAAAGGGGCCCAAAGATGTTGTAAGAGATGGGTTGGCGGTGCCCGTAATCTTGCCTTGCGTCTTTGTGTCTGATGTTATTCCGGCCAGATCTGACTAAATGCTTGCCGCTTTTGAAGATATTGCGCAGAATGTCAGTGGTATTCCGAGCGAGCTCTTTCGGGCTCCACGTCTTGAGGTCGTCCTGCAATTGTGTGGGAAAGTGCTTCAGTTTTGCCTGCTGTGCCGCTCTATTGAACAATTGGAATTCGGGGTCATGCAATGCCGCCCCCTTGCTTGCGTCATATCTCCCGGCAGACCCCTCTCCCAGCTTGCAGCTGCGAAGGCCACCACCGCAAGGAAAGGCTGCTCCCTGCTGCTGCTGCTGCTGCTGCTCCAAAAGCGCATCTTGTTCACTCTTTGCCCGCGCAGCGAAGGCCTCCGCCCTGATTTTCTGAGCCACCTGCTCCTCTTAGGCCATACGGTCGAACGCGTTAACGTCGTTGCAGCTTAGGAGTTCAAGCTCATCAGCATACCCAGAAAATGTCAAGGCTGTCTTATACAGATGTATTGCTCGTTCTTCGCAGAACAGTTGGTAGAACGCTCGTGGGCAGGTGTCGAACGAACCGGCAACGCCGGTATAGGCCAAAAGAGTAAACGTTGTGGAACATCTTCCATACTGCTGCATTTCTGGACATACACCACACAGGTTCTCGATCAATTATCACTACAACGCCTGCAGTCATCTTGTTCGCTGCGAGGTCGTCTCGCGAACCACATGGCCGCAAAAACTACAATGAGTAGGGGTCCGAGCTCAACTCTCGCCAAAACTTGTCCACATCGGCCTTCATCTGCGAAACTCGGTCCTCAACATGTCCAATGTCGTAGACATCCCGGTGCCCGAACAGCTCCAGGCCATTTCGTAGTAGTACCATTGCGACAGCGTGCAGATTCGCGTCTTTCTTGTAACCCTCAGCCTCCGTCCACCAGGCTGGGTTTTGTTGTATGATCTTGAACATCTCCGCAGCGCCCGACGGTAGGATTGGGTGCTCCCCACGCTGATACAAGTCCCACATTAGCGCTCACATGATATCACTTTCTCAGCTCGTCCTCTCATGAAGGAGATCTTTATGAGAAAAAAGACCGAGAAAAGCCGTAGAAATGAATTACCATGAGCCGTAACCAAAGCTGCTTGCCTACACCATAAGGCGTATGGGACTTTCCAATCCTCACATAGACTTCGTGCCCCACGGGGCCCCATTGATCGGGCCATCCGTCCCACTTCGCCCAGTAATCAGGCAAGTTTGACACGATTGCCTTGGTGAGGTTGGGCGACTGTCCGTAGTCCCAGATTGGCGCGATCTCAGTGGAAGCCACAAAAGGCAGCACTGCCCCACTGGAAGCTCCAAAAGGAACTAGCGCAGTAGACGTCGACGGGTTTGAACTACTCGTAAACGTTGACCTTGACAGATTGGATGAACTCCTTGTACTAGTAGGAATCGTAGAACTGCCTTTAGCTGCGCCCATAGATGAGCTAGAAGTAGTTGCTGCTAGTGCTACAACTCATGCGCTACAAGAAGACGTAGAAGATGTGGACCTGCCAGACGCAGGCTTGCTCCCACTCGCAGAGCTTGAATTACCACCAAAAGTTGCCATCTTTTCTCCATATTCTTTGCGCACTAGCATACTTGTCAATACAAGATATGCATGAGTATGCTTACCTTGCAAATGCACGGAAATATGGAGTCATGAGTAAATCAATGCTGTACAACCGCCTGCTTGGATTTTGCTACACGACAAAAGGAATAAGTCAAACTGATCTACTGGCGTTTTACTTCCATTGCGAGTTGGAGTAAATACAAATGCACCAGGCCAGTGAGGCACTCGAACTTCACGTTTGCAGGCCTCCTTCTCAGTCACAGCATCACATCTTTTGTCTGCACGTCCAAAGGGGCTATCCGCACAGTCGCAGTATGATGATTGCAGGAACACAGAAAAGGCCTGTATAATAGCAGAACTTTGTCTGGTGCTTGCACCAGAAGAAGCGTGAGGGCGGTTCACAGCTGGGCCATCGGTGATTAATAGATTAGGGGGTGCGAAAGTTCTTACAACATAAATTCCTGTGTCAGGCATCCTGTACAGAGATCAGCAACTATTGCAAAACAAAGCGTTTCATGTATTCTCGGTTACCGTCTTCGACAATTCTGTCTGTTGGCAAAATTTGACGCAAATCGAGCGTTCCTCTTGGTTCTCCTTCATTTCATGATATGCATCCTCGTCTAATTTACCAGCAATCAGAACCAGAAGAACGAAAAATTCCGACCTATGTTCAAACCCAAAAAAATTACTTACTATAACAATAATGCAATACTCGTTTGTGGTACTATAATACTGCTAGTACATGGCGATGGCGTATATGCTGAGCCAACTTGAATCACACACCCATCCTTCTACCATAACAAATTGTTGATCATATCACAGGTGTTACTAGGGTTTGCACCATCACAAATTTTAGCTTTACCGAATCCGAAGGGCATGAAAGGAAACTATAAATGTATTTACGTATGCGTTGTGAGTATTTCTTTTGTAATGGTTTTCTTAGCGCAATAGATTCATTCTCTAACCTTACGGATCCTATCGTCGCCACAATCACCTTCGCCCCGCTGAACGGCCGCAGAAGATCCTCGCTCCCCCACAATAATGCATCAAAATCCACCACCAGCAAAGCACGAACATCATCCCGCCAGCACCGGCGTTAGAGGTTTACAAGAGGGGCCTTTTTCCATTCTTTACAAGCAAGGATAGGATGATGCGATCACTAGCTTGCTGCATGACAGAGTGAGTACGTCCACAAACACAATGCGTCCCCGTCATTTAACAAAGTATTTGTGCCACAGAACAATTATAGAAAACCAGAAATACCAACATTTCGCAAGAAGATGCGGATGGCTAAATATCTATTTTACCTGTAACTCTCCCTGCTTAACAGTACTTCCAAAAATTCGAGTTGCAGAACTGCAGTCTGTGTCACAGCGCATCAAACGCTGCGTCCGCTTCGTTGCCTCACATTCCGCCTCAAACGCTAACTCGCGGCAAGTTGGCAGCGTTTGCCTGACACAATAACTGCGACACATCTCAGCGTCACACTTCTCCTCACCATCTGAGTTTTAGAGGTTGCGCGATTACATTCTTCAGATCATCCACCTTGATTTCTTTCTTAGTGGCGAAAGAGTTAGATGCTAGTGCAGGATGCAATTGGATAACCCTTAAAAAATAGACCTTGGGTTCATCTTCTCCAACAGGTCGGGCCGCTTTGATGCCTACGTGTTTCGGTGTTGTTGAAGATGGCGGTCTGTTCGATATTTCATATTATCTGACGGCTTTGATCTTTGATATTGATTCGCCATCGTTATTTGAAGCTAGGAAGTCTATACATTGATTTAGCACAATTGAACACTTCGAGTAGAAATGCACTCACGTAGCTGAATACAACCGCCAGATTTCCATTTCGCGTGAGAAATTTGTAGATGTCGCAATTCAATAAACAGTCGTAGTAGTCGTGACAGTCTTCGTTCCAATCGGCGTCCGGCGACGTTTTCTTGCAGAAGCTAGAATTTCAAATCGATGATGAAAATGTAAATGATGAAGGAAAAACCTCAAAATAGAAAGTACATATATTTTCTTAAAAATCATCTGCATTATGTACCGTGTAGTATGAAGCATTGGTTCTAGTTGTAACAAGTCGAAAAAATACTCTTCCCACTGGTAAAAGCGAGGCTGAGTTTCGTCGTTGATGGTGTGGCAGGTTTGAAGTTAGAGCTCACCCTTATCCATCTTGAGATTCATCCCAGGGCCCTTTTCTCCTCGAGAAGCCTCGCTAGGATGCTTGATGAGATGGATTAGGGGAACCCTTAATGAAGACACAGCTTGTCGTACTCTGAAAGGTTATCACCAGTGGTCATGCACACCTGTTCTGGCTGAAGCTGTCGTATATCATCTGAAGGTTCCTGCATTAGTAACGGTGCAGTACTTCCGGACCTGGATAAAGCTCTCTCTCCGTTTGAACCGAATTCCCGCATCGTGGCACGTGAAGAAGAAAGACTCTCCATATTTTCGATGGCAGAAGTACCACTGTGCAAGTTTCTCTGGAAACTCGCAGAACTCGCAGACGAAGATGACGGTAATGATGACCTAGAGGGTGATGCGCCATCGGTTGTTGACGCCAGATTATCATTTTCACTCATCGTCGTCCCTGGCCATTCTTGACCAGGAGTTTCGCCGCTAGAAGAAGTGCTACTTTGACGATACTTCTCAACTTCTTCAGTGCCCCTACTTGCTATTTCCCCTGATCGAGTGCGCGCTCCATGGTCCACGGCTAATTTACTAGAAGATGAAGATGATGAACCTGCTTGATGAGCCCCATCAACGCCATGCCCTCGCGCGGATTCGAGCAACCCCCGTCTTTTCGAGCCACCAGGACTCGGAATATCGAAACCTTTGAGAACCATCGCGGCAAAATTTTTCGCCAGCAGGCAAAACTACCTTTCTCTCTATTTCGACGTTCTGGAAAATAAAAGTATCAATATCATCCACACTATAAATTTCAAGACGCTTTACTTCATCATTTAAATACATTATAGGGTATAGAGAGTCGTCCTAGTTGTCCCAGATCAAATGCACATAAAATCATGCCTATACAAAAGTTATCTTTAGAGAGTTCTAGATCGGTGACATAATGAAGTAAAACGGATGAGGAGAAATCTCGCCTTTAATTGCTTGATTTATTTCTAATACAAGTCCTCACGTCTCCCTCGCAGCGCTCTCGTCTTGCGACAGATTTTTAGCTTCGCTCAGATGGAAAGAAAAAGCAACGGAGGACCAAGCACATCTGCAACTTCTCGTGACTGTTGACCTTGACATGATGAGGCACTCTACCATGCATTGATCCAAAAAAAATGGAACAGCACATTGGTGGATGAACTAGTGGACTATTACACATGACGCGGTGGAAATGAAAAAAGATTCGGAGACAAGTTGCCGCTCAACAAATGCATCACCGTGCTTTTCTGCCAAAGTCCAAAACACAATGACCCACGCATACGAAGGCGCCAGGATAAACTCCCGGAAGAAGAATGCAGCTCTGCAGGCCACCCGCTTGGTGGTGATAAACTGGTGCAGTTCTATCGGAGTACTGGCTTGCTGTTAATTTGTAACCAAAGGCAGATGTTGAAGAGGAAATACTAGCTCCCACACTGACACTTTTTCCGCGCAGCTCTTATTTGCGGCGGCGTGCACACACTTGAAAACGAGAAAATTGAGCACTCTACAGTATAGCACCGACAAAACATCGGAGCGAAAACTAAGTTTCTACTGAGGGTGTGTCGCGTTATTTCAACAACTCATCACCGTAACGTAATCAAATCCTTTGGAAAAGTTTATCTAAGATCTAGGATCGGAAATTGCAAGTTGAACATTTTACGTTTTGGAAATAGTAGACAGTGAAAAAGCTAGTTCAAGATTTGTCGCAAGAACATGACTGGTGAGCATTGGATGATTTACACCGGGATTTTTGAGCATTCAATTACACTAACGTATCTATTTGCGAGAGAGAATCGTCCGGGCTATTGCGAGAGAGCAGTGAGAATTTTCGGAGTTAATTTGATGTAGGAGGAAGTGCATTTTTGTTTCGTATATTGAAGACTGCGGTCGACAGAATTGCAGCTCAGCTTATCATCTAGAGTTTAGACTATGCATCTACGGTAGCGCGATAATTTCCCAAAAATATTTCACAACGATTTGTGTTTCGAAAATCATGAGATCAGCTACATTATCTATCTCAATCAAATTATCATACTTCTGGAAGATCTGTTCATCTTTCATCTTTGCCCGATCTCGTCATGACAGCGTAACATAAACATTTACTATGTACAATACCTTACCCTATCTTCGAATACCATCTATACTCTCAAAAATACCTAGTACCTTCATAAACCCCCCTAAACAGTTCGAAGCGGTGCCTTTTAGAAGAACACGCCAAGCACCAAGTAGAAGAATCCAAGCGGCAACAACAAGGCCAACCTTTGCAGTCTCACTGCGCTACTACAATCGACGTTGCAAGGAAGGTATTGACCTCGCTGTCCGGCCGTACAAGCGGCTGTGTACCTGAGAACAGACGTAGAGACAATTCTGTGATACTTCTCACTGGTCCAAAGTACATCTACTCATCAAAAATAACCACATCGGTTGTAGATTTCTTATCTGGAAAAGCTAATTTTACAGCAAACTGCGTTCTCAAATGAAATCTAGTCTGCTCCTACCCTATCTCGTGGCACGTATTGAGTCTCTGCCGGACGCAGTAGGAACGACACTTTTCTATGTCGCACTTTTGTTCTGCCTCGACGTTGCCTGGATCAACGCGCGATATGTAGTCCTGCCGCTCGCCGTCCTTGATCTGGTCGATAATTGTGTGTTCGTAATATAGGTGTAATGAAAGGTACGAAGCACCACGAAGATATTCGATGAAGAAAGAATACAACGTAGGCAACTTCTAGATGTGGCTTACAGGATGAAGTCCTACACTGCAAATTCAATACAACAACAGAAATATTCATGCTCAGCAAAAAAAAGTACGAGATTCAGCGTCTTGCCCTTTGTGATTTCCTTTGATATCGTACAACCGAGGACGCATTCGTTAAAGTCGAAGCAAATTTGCGGCCAATCCGGATCGTCAGCAGCCTCTTGACAGAATCTGAGTGGAATAAACAAAAGTGTAACTTCCATAAAAGAAATGTGAATTAACGATATGAAATCAATGGATTGGATGGAGGGAATAGAGTAGCATACATGAAAGAAAACTAACCGGTTGTTTTTTTTTGTGTTTTAAGCGTCGCTGGACCTAATCAATGGAAAGAAAATTAGGGAAGTACGCTTCAAACTGACTGAATCGGGGTTCGATGACGTTGTCGATAACATGACACGTCTGCAAACAATTTCGCAAATGCTGCGTCAAACCGTTGGCAGACACTAGACAATACTGCGCCTGAACACCCTGGAGGTCTCGTGCGCTGTAGAGGAGTCAAGAGAATTGATGTCGATGTTATTGCTTCCACGTGCGGATAACCACGCACGCAAGCATTCTGTAGAGAAAGACCACCGGACACAACACAATATTGAAAAATATAGCCGGCAATCAAGGTGTTGCGACATAAAAGTCATCCTATTATTTTCATCGATCAACCTCTGCGAGGTAGAAAAGCGATGTCTGTGAAGAACTACATGTAAATACGAAAACTCTATACCTGCTCATGCCAAAGTCATCTAGCAGATGAAGGCTTTTTGCGCCGTATCGCTTCTCGTTGATAGACTCAGCACGCCTTCGGACTCGATCCGCGAACGACAACTCCTGCTTTTCAGAAGACGGAGGCTCCCCACCACTTGCTGCCAATAGCTCGCCATTAGCGCCGCTGCTAGTTGAGTCTTCAGTACGCCGTGCTGCAGCAGAGGAGGACAATGTGGACAGCGTCTGCTGTTCTGCGTCTGTTGTTCGTCTTGACGAAGACGACGACGAAGATGCGGTTGTACTCGCATCTCTTGCTCCACCGGAAGACAGATCGATTACCCTAGTACTTCGGTCAGAGGGCGATGCGCTGGACAATTTTTGCATATGCACTGCAGTTGATGCAGTACTGGACGAGGAAGTGCCGCTGGTCAGATCCCGCGGCTGACTTCTGTGGTTTGGCGTTGCGCCCGACGAAGATGAGACCTCGTCAAACTGCTGCTCGGGCTGTATTTCGTGAGGGTCGATTGCGTCGCGTTTCTCTGCCTCGACTCCCCAGCCCGTCCCCTGCAGGGTCATCAGTGCTGCGGCGCCGACTACGCGTCTCATTCTTATCACGAATGTCGTCAATTCGAAGATCAAGATGATTATCAAATTGCTTTCCAAGAGGATTCTTGTTTGTAGTATACGACGCGTTCTGCTTCCGCTCTCTGCGGCTTGGGGCTGATTATCCTATCTGCTCCTCACGGTCTTCTATAATTCTCTTGTTCTATTCGTCTCTTATAATGACGAGTACAAGTAGGAGAGCGTTGCTCTGTTCACCAGATCCACCTTCTTATTCTTTTTAGAAAAATGAGAATCTTATCAGTTGACCCTTCTTTGTGTTCAATGTCATACTAGTTTTTTTGACTTTCTATAGCTTTTCCTGTTTACCCGCACACTTATTTTCGATTGAAGTTCTTGCAGAAATTAACAGATCAGAAAGGCAAAGGTTCCGAATATTTGGAAGTTCTGCGATAACGAACAACGAAGTGTCTCGAGACGTCAAGTGATTTCTAGTTTCTTCCTCACTACCACATGTCCTCCTCTCTCTTTTCCTCTTCACGCAGGGCGATTTGAATCCTTTCCTCAACGCCACATGTTGCATCACGAAGCAACACTGACTTCACACTTCATGTTGTGAAACCCAAAAGCGGGGTAAAAAAAGACTACTTCGAAGTCCCGAAATAGAACTTACCGTATCACATTTATCAGCGTAAACGTGGGATTTGTACTACTCGATGTTCAGGGTGTTCATTGTGCTTCCACTCTCAAAGCCAAATTGGTCCGCAGCTGGGATCCGCAGGCCTAGAAGTCTCTCCGTCAAATTGATCCGCAGACCCACATTGCCCTTTATACTATAAGGAAGATCGCCAGGATCGCCTTACCTGATGCGTAGAAAAGGAGCTTTAAGCGGCCCGAAACACATAATTTCTATTTGTAAAAGTATGTATAGTCATGAGGTGTTCAAAGTTAAGAATCAGACTAGACGCAGCACAGAGGGTGCGACTGCGACGAAGTAGGTGTAAAGAGAAAAAAGCACCTATAAGACTCTCTCAAAAGAACGCAAGTCAGGCAGTGCAGTTATTATTCGGTGTCTGTTACTACCACTAGGTGCAAACAACGGAGCCTTTCAGGAGCAACGACCAGCTTTACTATCGCTTAGTATTCATTTGGCACATTGAAGTTAAGGGAAGCTTTAAGTAGTTTTATTATTAAGTTAACGATAACTTTCTAGTAATAAATTCTAAGTTCTAGTTAATTAATAAGCTTGTTAACCTTAGATAGTTGAAAAAAACATTTCACGTGAGATGAAAAAAGATCCTGTTCACAGGAAGAGAGGCTGCTTTGCGGCTTGGAGGTCATTTATTTGTGTATTTCCTAAATGGTTTGTTTGTGAATTGAAGGTGTGAGTTAGTATGGATGTTAAAATTGAGTCTTGTGTAATAAATATGTGGCTCTACTAAAAAAATTGACAATAGCAGAAAAAGTAGTAAGTATTGAAGTAAGAATGAAGAAAGAAGCTAGATCTACAGCGCGCAAAGTAAAAACTCCTGAGTTCTGCCACATAAGGTCCTACCAAGAGTAGGAAGAAAGGTAGGTGTCATCGACGATTTCGGTACGGTTTGCAAGGCGCCCGTTGTTGCTGTAACTTCGAAGTTTACAACTTCCAATCAAAAATAATTGAGTGATTCGTCGAATATAACAGGTGTGGCCATGTGCACGCTCCCGCTGGCGCCATTATTCGCGACCGTAGAAACTAGGTCCGGCATTAAGGCAACCCCGGAGTTATCCGAATGGAGATCCCTGAAGGTGGAGTTACCGACAAAAGCCAAGGTACTTTCTATGCTCCTTCCGCTGAACTAGAACCACTACCACTGAGCATCAAGGTTGCGATGCCTTCAATTTCCGTTTCACGTCTTTGCTAGAAACGATTTTTTGACCCTCTTGCACTGCGTCGTTCAGTACCTGTAACAGTGCTGCGCAATCCAAGCACGACTTCGATTCAAGTCGTTTCATTGCGCCACGGAGTTCGAGCAAAGTCTCCAGTGTCATCGGAGATTCGTCGTCGGCTATGGCGAAGTCATAAAGATGAAAACGGGTCTCGAACTCCTTCCTCTCCGAGTGCCACCGCAGAAGCGCCTGTCGTGCGGCCTCTAGTGCCTCGTTTTGAGCGTTCCATGCTAACACTGCCATCGGGTCCATGGCTCTGCCTCGATAGATGTGCTCCAGTCTTAGCTTCTGGTGGTACACTCGACCCAGGGGTTTCCGATGGTCGCGGAAACCATCATTCGCAACTGTGAGAAACTTACGAGCACACTCCGAAAACAGAAACTCTCGACGATAAAAAAGCCTCAGCTCGCGCATAGAGTGCAGCTGTAGAGCAGCGTGCAGCACGAGTTCGTGATTGTGAGCGAGCGCCTCTTCCAGTTTCTGCGCGGAAAATAGTTCGCGGACTCTCTTCACCGGCGCAGTGATCGCCTCTTCGTCAGAAGAAATCACAACCAAAGTAGACACGTCACTCTTTTCGGGGTTCTGTTTCGCCCACTCCGCCTGCAAATCTGCCACTAGCGTGGTATTCAATGATACTTTCGTAACAAGAATTGGGTCGCCCGCCATCCCCATCAAGATTATCGTGGAAGTCGACGTAGCAGAGGAGTCTGCTGTCGAAGACTCCTGCTCTTCTATCGACATTATTTCCTGTTCGACCTGTAAGAACTTCAGGTTTACTCCTTCTGGTTTATCGTGCTGATGCGAACAACAATCCAACGCATCTGGTTCCATCAAACAATTTTTTTGAGAGGAACCGCGCCCGCCCCTCTGCTCATCTCCCTGGTCCACCAATTGCTCGCCCAACTTCGGTTGTGCCAGTTCTTGAGACGGCTTTTCGGATTCTGGTACTGTTAGAACCTCTTCCATGACCGCCGAGTTCTGCGCCTTGGAATCCTTCAATTGCCGAGAAATTCCTCCTATTTCTGCTCCAAAGACTGGACGCATACCCGCACCTGCGATCGCAAAAAGTCCCGCGATCACAGAGAGATTAAGATGATCCAGCATATTTTCCCAAATGATTTGATATTGAAACAGAAACAGATTTAGATCAGGCACAATCGCTTTAACTATACTCACATTTAGTTGAAAACAGCACTGGGCAGTCATTTTATTTAGCGATTCATCATTTAGTTTTAGTTACCTGGTGATTTCACATTTTAGCTTGATCTAAAATTGAGAGAAGTCAGAAACAGTCCTTGTTTGTAGGTGTAAGTGAGAGAAATATGGTCTTAGTAGTAGTGGGTGTACTAGTAGTGGTTGATCGAAACATGAAGGTACCGCATCACGATTGCTCTTCGATAAATTCAACGAAAAAGTCGTAGTCTTATCTTCAAACGTTTTTTCTTCTACTAGTTCTGTCTTACAATTCTAGCACACCCGGCTCGCGCAATAACAAGTCATATCGCAAAAACAAGCAATGAAGCTCTGGTGGTTGTTCGATAAGACGTCTCGATGAAGCTGGAAAACTTATCGCCATCGGGCTGATGCGATGAGCGAATGAATGAATTCCGCTTAATGATGCACTTTCACCGTCTCTCTGACCATACCCACAGACACCTTGTGGTGGGTTTTCTGGTCGTGGACCATTGCGATAAGCTGAACATGCGTGCCAACGGCAACTATTTCAATGACTGGCTCTTGCCATAGGCACTTCTGAAGATCACAAAGGCAATTGGGCCACATCATTAAGGCAATTTGGATTTCGAAAGAGCAGAGAAGCAGCTGCACAACTTCACGAACGAGAGTGGAATCCCTCCAACAAGCTTGGAGTTTGACCAAGCCTTTTCATCCGCGAAAAGTTTTGTATCTCCCGCTCCACCATCTCTACAACTAAAAAGAGATGCCGCTGCAACACGCAGGTTCAAATTCGTGAAAGACCCCGTGATGGCCTTCCCGCGCTGCCAAGAACTCAAACACTTCGCTTAACGCAATGCATTCGAGATGCATTTTAGCTTGCAACCCCTCCGGCAGTTAGTCTGCCCAAATTCTCCGCCCAGAGTATCCATCACTCTCTCTTCATCCGCTTCAAGGCTCGTAGTATCGAAAGGACCTCCCATTTCTGCAGGCCCCATGCGCCAGAATACCACCCTCGCCTGACCCTCAGTCACCTGCGCGTATCCTATACTCCGGAGGATCTGTTCCACTCTCTTATTTCATGCTGCATACGCGGCCGAGGTTTCATATGAAGCCTTTATACATAATATCAACAGCAATCATTCCCTACCAGTTTAACTTACATAAGCTCTACTAGCGCCGACATCACCACTCCGCAACCTTGGTCAATAAGGCCCATCTCTCCCTATTCCAGGCACGAGACTTTATTTGACCTCAGGTATGCTCTTCTTTCCTCGTGACTATATTCTTCCGTTACGTTCTCTACAGCAGGAAGAGCGCTGGCAGTACTCCTCACAGGAATACTGAAACTGTGAGCAGAACTAGAAATGATTGAGGGTGCCGTGGGCTCGCTGCAGAACAATCGACGTCACAGGGGGTCACCGTGTTTGCCCTCACAGCCTTCCAATTCTCACAGGCTTCCTGAAAGGCCACTTCTCGACACGTCCCCTGGGTCTTGCGCATACAGTACGAGCGGTATTTCTCCAGCTCGCACTCGCTATATGCGGATTTCACGTTGCTGCGCGAAAGCATGAACAGTTTCGTTTGGAGGTTGCCGCCGTGCACTCCTTCGCCGATTACATCCTTCGAGATGTCGCAACCCAGCACGCAGTCAAAAAAATTTTCGCAATCGCGGGACCAGTCAACGCCAGCGGTCATGCGACAGTAGGCGTCCCACTGCAGGTAGCCCGGCTGCGGTCTCTGGTCGATGAACTGGCAGCTATTCAGGCACACCTTTCTTATCCCATTCGGTCAAACCAATATGTGTATCTACACGGCAGTAGTTCACGTTGCTACCACCCAAGACTGTGTTACTTGACTGGTTGACTACAAGATTCTTCTTCTATGATCACATCCACGTGCCCCACTCGTCAAAATGATTTGTGATATTGCAGCCTTTTTTCCAACGTTTGTGAGTCCTATCTTACCCCATGGTTTTTATGAATTTCGCCGGTTTGACCGAATACGACCTTGTTCCCCTACCATTTATATTGCGACACTCAGGCGCGAAGGGTCCTTTTGCTGCACTCTTCGTACAAAGCTCTTCAAGCAAGAACCTCTTCAAGACCGGACCTAATATAGTATGTAAGTAGATCTGCAACCTTGGAATCTATTAGCGAAGTCAAAACGCCGACGCCATAACTCCCAGAGCTGCAGATGCACCAGCGTAAGCGTTACCCAGAGCCGCAGAATCCCGAGAACGCCCCGACTGCCAACGGCAGTGCGCACGATCTTCGCAATGTGCGACAATCATTTTCGTGCCTGGTGTCCTACGCTTCTCCATTAGCACTAGAGTCACAAATTGTTGAGTTTACTTGAAGAAGAATTTTTGACTTGCAAGTCAACGCCATTAGATCTGTATCACGTTACGGTCAACAATGTTAGTTAGAGATCATGCACTTCACAGCAAGAACGAAAAGCTAAAGACGTCTAAATGTTGCCTTAACTAGTAAAGTAAGTCCAAGATTGTATTCAAGTTCCGTATGATTTAACGAGAAAGTAACGAAGCTTCATATCAGAAGAGTACACATAACCGCTCGAGAAGTGAGACTATGTGTGTTTTTGATAGCCGTACCGTGAAAGGAGCATCGAGCTGAAACAAACAAGGCTAGTGCAACTGTGCAAAACTCTTGGGGCACATTGCGAACGGTCGGGTGGATTGAAAATGAATGTGGAATAAAAAGCTTTCTGCCTGTCATAGCTGTGGGCAATATTGCTAGGAGGGTCCATCGGGTGGTGCCATAACAAGATGATACTCGAGCTTCAGTCCACAAGCTGGGAACGTACAAGTTGCCTATGACGCTTTTTTGAACAGTACCCAAGATGTGAACTTTAGAACACCGAAATTTTGTACTGAGCCAGTGGTGCACCTTCCTAGCATTAATCAATATTTCTCAAAAATGGAACGCACACATTTGACTCTCTGGATGTTCGCTCTCTCTCTCTCTCGCTCTGTCAGAACGCTCCCTCTCGCGCCACTTTCTCAGAAGTAATCGAAAATCAGAAGCACGCATTTTCCGTCAGGTTCATTTGTTCATAGAAGGATATTGCATGAAGGGATAGACCTAAGAATGGAGGGAAAACTAACCGGCTGTTTTGCTTTATGTGCTTTGAGCGTCGCTGGGCCTAAACCTCTACCTTATATATAAAAAGGATTCTACTTTTTTTGTTCATAGAAGGATACAAAGTTTGATAAGTGCCAGTATATCATCTTCATGGGTAAGATCGATTCTTCCCCGAATCCCCCATTTTATTGACAGAAGCATCTTCGTTCCATCTGTACTAAGCGAAGAAGTTCTTGTTGTCATACTGGCGAAGATGTGAACCGAAAACTTCCTGTTGTCATAGCTCAAAGTGTCTGTCTCATTTCTTGTATGGTATTTGTATCGTGGTTACCGGGTATACATGTGTATGATCTTTAATGTGATGTGAATGGCACTGTCCATCGTGCGAAGTAGAATGAATCCGTCGTACATCGATGCTATTCGTAGAAATGTATGACCTACAATTTTCTCTTGCGTCGGGGATTGGCTGACACATTGACAATAGTCAGTAACATAAAATTGTCGTCGGAGCGTCCCAGTCTGCACAAAATGATTACAAGAAACTCAAAACGATTTGGGGATCTGCGCGCACGGGTTCCTTAAGCGATCTTCATATCTACAGAAAGCAACCTCTACAATATTTGTCCAAAAACTATGTAACAAAACGCTCCACGACCCATGGCGTTGTTGTAGAAATCATGTTGTCCAAGAATAAATGGTGAATAGACCAGAATTTTGCAACATTTCATCAGTAACCTGAAAAACGTAGCCGATCAGAATAGCAGCCTCAAAAGCGCAATGAAGCCGAAGGAACGGCCGAAAAAAAATCAAGATGTGACTAGACAAGCAGCGACAGTTGTTATCGACACCATCTGTACTGTAACTCCAGCCACGCAATTCCCATAAGGACAAAAGCGGCTCTAAACTGGGACGAAACTCTCATCCGTAGCCCCCTCATCGTAGGGCAGCGGCAAAGTTGCGAGGCCTTTATATCGTGTAGCCGGATTCACGTCCCACTTCGATTCTTCTTTCTGCAGGTAATGACCTCGGCTCTGGGCGTGGATGGATTTCAAGATCGTGAAAACCTGGGTCGCGTGGTCTAGAAGAACCGCGTCTGGCAAAAAGTTCGCACAGTCCAGCGCCCAACAGCAATCTAAGGCTCCTAGAAAGCCACGAATAATCCCCAAACCCTCTGGCCAGAACGGTTCCAGTAATGCGTCGCCGACCAAAGCCACTGGCGGAAATAGCCCCCGTCTTAGAGGTTCTTGAAACAATTCCTATTTGCCTTACATATTTGACGCGTTTCTTCTTAAAATGTGTCAAATCGAGTGCACACATATGAAATGTTTCACGTCTTAACCCTTGTGGTCCCACGACTTCATGATCGTCACCAGCACCTGGAGTGGTCCCACTGCTGCTTCTTGTTGTTCTTGGGGAGGCCGTTTCTGGTCTTGCTTTTGCAGCATTCTTGTTCATCCCAGTAGTTGATGTGTCTACTTCAGGCTGCTGAATAGATGAAGTAGAGGCTATCCCACGACACACGAAACCTGTGCTAGCACGCATAGTTCTTGAGAAATCGAAGGCCATCACGTCACACGGCTCGGGACAGAACTCACCGTGAATCCCCAACCAATCTAATAACTTCCGCAAATGGTCACGCAGTCGGGGTTTCCACACACTTCCTGCTTGCGATAACTCAACCTGATGTTGTAGTTGCAACAAATAACAATCAAGTACATGCAAACATGCAGAACAAAACTCTTTTCATTTTCACTCTTGAAACAAACCCTTCACTTGTATGACCTATTTTTTGAAACAGGAAAATCCGCTTTCCAATGAAGAGAAGTCAAGGCTGTACCCCACACGCCTTCAGAGATACTCTGGTTGGAGTCATGATGATGTAGTGCGTATCGGGTCCGCGATAGTACACGACGTTCTCGAGAATGAGAGAGGATATCTTTTCAATCTTCTGAAAGAAGGCTGCATTGAACTGGCGCGCCCACGAAAATTGTCGCACTTCCAATGGTGAACGTGGAGACATGGGTCTCCGAAACAGGGAAGAGCTGCTGATACCACTCGCCATGCTAGCGGTAGATGTTGCGCTGTCGCGTGGAGTTGCCTTGTTGTTTTCACTTGCGCAACTGTCCCTCGCGGCGGCTGCTTGGGAACACGCACTGTCGCGTGCGCCGACGGAAAGAGTCGCGGACGAGCGACCTGGGCCGCCAGGTGCAGGACCACCCTTGTTGGAGGACCAGCGTCCCCCTCCGGAAGAAGACGCTGCAGCCGATCTTCTGGTCTCGCTCACCACAGAACTTGGAGCAGTTTTGCCTCCCGTTGAGGCAGCCGTGCTAGAAGATGAAGGACAGCTATCATCGTCGGGTGACTTGGCTAAATCGGTATCCGGCAAAGCGCTTCCTCTCCGCGCGCTTTCCCGCCCACTGGAAGCACGAGTGGAGGCAGTCGAGCTCCCTCCCACTTGACCCCGAGGCGGCGGTGCAAATTCATTTTGCGTCTTCTCCTCGCGACTCGACCGAGCTGGCGCAGTACTGCCTGTCGCAAGGGAGTTTCCACGTCCGGACGTGGATAGTCCCGCGCCACCCGCGACGCCGGCCGCGTTCACACCCGAAGTCCTTCGTTCGACCCCTCCGGAAGTCGGCGCGCTATTTCGCGCCCCGAGAGTTTGGTGCCGCGGACCACGCTTTAAGTTCACTACGACCCCGATCGCCTCGCTGTAGTCTGACACAATGCGGGGCCCTAGCTTGCTCCCCTGGGTCGTCGCGACGACGCTCCTCGGTCCATCGCCACCCACTAGGGCGTCCGCCTCTAGGGCAAATTTTATCCTTAAATCTTGTTCAGCAGAATTATCATTTCCCGTCACTGCAGCACTACCTGTCCCAACAGTGCCCTGAAAATCGACTACCCACAAGGTAGGGCCAGCACACGACCGTCCCGGAAACTCTGCGTATGACACTGCACTTCCTAGCGGCGAGGTCTTCTGTGGTCTATCAGAGTTTGACGAAGTCGAATTAACTTCGTCCTTTCCGGTAAGCCGACCAATTTGATCCTCGTGTGCATAAGGTCTCAGCTCAGTGGCAAGAACGGCCTCCGCATTAATGTACTCGACACCCAGCCGAATCTCCACGCCCAGAAGTAGCGCGTTCTTCACCAAAAGCGCCTGCAATTCGTCGATCCCAAGGTGGCAAAAATCTGCGTCAGCAAACACGGCTTGATTCACAGTGGCAGGTAGAAAGAGCCTTCCGGAGAAACGTTCCACCTCGCTCCGAACCCAGGGCCAAAGATGTAACCTAGGAGAAGAAAACGAAATTCCAGTCAACACATGATTCAAATGAAATGGGACACCGGATGCAGCAGCGAAGGATGCTCATGCATCTCGTCGTCCGACAAGAACATAATCAAAGAGTAGGAATGTAAATTTTGTAAACTACAGCGTCTGCTTTCACAAAATGCAAGTAAAGAGCAATATGCACCTGTTGATTCTCCCGTCGCATTTTATCCGCTTCTCGAAGACCAGCGGCTGATGCCCTCCCAGTGCGAGCTCGATGGCCAGGCGCAAGCCACATGGCCCTGCACCAATGATAATTACGCGCTTTCGCTCCTGTACCCTACGACGACGTAGCTTGTCGAGATTCTCCCAAACGTTGCTGGTGCGCCAGTTGATGCACCCACGCATAGCCCGCCGTATGTGGTGGTATGGAAATACAAGCTTTGACGACGGCGAAGAGGTCGCGGCACCGGAAACTCCGCGGGCACTGGTGCTTCCACTGCTACTGCCCGTTGCTCCACCCATTGCGGCGGTGCCGTACATACTTGTTCGCGCGGACGGTAAGGCGCTGGAATTCAGCTCCTGTAACTGCTGAAGCATGGCGGCTGGGTCCGATATCGCCGCCAGGTCTGCATAGATACGGAGAATCGAGTTTACGTCCATCTCCGTCACGAATTGCGAGAAGATTTCCGCTACCCTCTGTGAGGTCTGTGAGCGCTCACCACGCGCTAGACTGCGTCGCATGCTTTTGCGCTTGTTGCGTGCAGTTGTCACATTTTCACCGGGCACCGTAAGAATGCTCATTTTGCTCGTCGGTGCCGCCAACTGGTGGAGGCTCAACCCAGGCACCTTCGCGGCTGCTGCGGGAGGTGGGGCTTCGGTTGTACCAGCATCTTCCGAAGGACGATTCGCTGGCGCTACAGCAACGCCCGTTCGCAAGGCGTTTCGGACTATCCCTGACGCAGCTGCGCCTCCCGCCTCTCGCGCGCCGGCTTCTGGCGGAGCAAGCTTCTGACCGGGTTGGTTGATCTGCGGTGAGAGACGCGCTTGATTGATGCCGGCGTCGTCATCGTCGCTACTTTTGGGATTGCGACTTTGGCGTTCATCGTCGCTTGCCCTTGCATCCCGTTGTGCTCTAGCATCCTCACAACTGCTGCGTGCAATAATGGACAGTTGTTCCTCGTTTCGTCGGCTCGTGTTCATTTCTCCTGCGCTGCTGCGGGGGTCTATTGCATCATCTCGTCCGACAACTCGTTCCCGATCAGCCTGCTCCGCAGTTCCATCACCGTGACTTCTCTTCTCGCCACGTGTTCTGCTTTCGACGGTTCGCGGCCCCTGGCCAGCAGCAGCGGACGTCTTCACACCACCTCGCGGTCTTCGCCGAATCCGTTGCATTTCTTCTTGCCCAAATTGCGTATCCTCGTGGCTCGCTCGTGTCTTCGAGACAGGTCCTGAACGAATCTTCTCTTCCTCAGAAGAGGCAAGGGAGGCCCGCGGGTTGCTTCTCAAGTCCGAATTCAGCGATATTTGTCCTGATGCGCAGTCGTGGTGTCTCTCTGCCGAACTTTTTTGCACAGAGCCATCAAGAAGGAACGACGCACTCCTCGCTAGGCCCCGCGTGCTGAAGCCCTGAGACGCTCGCTCATTCTGTGACATCTTCGCAGGTCTGTCCGCCACAGGCTTTTCCCGGAAAGAATGGCCATGTATTTGAGAATTGCTGCTCAAACGTGCTGCGTCTGCATTGTCGAAATCCCGACTCCCCCGAGTTCGCAGAGACGCCTCTTTGCCACTCCTATTACTGCGATTGCCGATCGTCTCTTTGCCCCAGCGGCCCTCTTTTGTGATAAACGCTTCTTCCGTGCCGAAGTCTGGCACCCGTCTGTCAAGCGCTTCTGAGAAGGATGACGAGCGGCGCAAATGTTTTCTCTTATAGTCAGCTGAATATCGTGGCTCACTTGTGCGAGAAAAGTCGGCAACTCTGGTACCCGATTCCGCCGGTGTCGCATCTTCGACTTTCGGCTGCCTGCGCCTGGTATTCTGTGGAAGCAGTTCACCTCGATCTCCTTCGCCTGGTGCTCCCGTCTTTGGCTTTGCCTGCTGTGCTAGCTTTCGCGCTGTTATAGATTTTTCGCGGGCGGTCTCATCAGCACTCCTAGGGTTGAGTCGATCTCTCCTTGGCCGAGAACGCGCCGTAGGCTCAGCTGTACACGTAGTCTGCGCTTCGCTTTCTCGCCGATGATGCAAACGTCCCTCCACGCTTTCGCGGGCTCCGGTCTGATCGTCACCTGTTCTTCCCTTTCTCGTGTCTTCCTTCGGTGCCACACTGTACGCGGCATCACGAGCGCGTCTCGCAGACTCGCGGTCACTGGTACTAGAGCTCTGTTGCTTGGAAATAGTCGACGAGGATGAGACCGCCTGTCCCGCTCGCGTCTCGGTTTCAACTTTATCTCTAGTTTCTGGCCTTGACGAACTTTCACCGGCTCCTGCTATAGCCGAGGTGAGATCCCGCGGAGTGTCTCTTGGCGCCGATCTTCGATGCGGTTTTTCCTTTGAGGGTATTTTTCGCTGCAACGAGTCCTGTCGCTCTCTCTCTTCGGTGGACGGAGGTGTCCGCCACGTGTCCTCCCCACGCAACAGGCCCCGACGTCGCAAACGCTCCCAAGCGTCCTGCCCTCGTTTGGTCTCGATCGCAACAGGACTGCTCTCCGGCTTTGGACCTTCTTTTCTCGTTTCGTTGCTGCGACGAACGCTCACGCCCCTGCTTTGATCCTTACAACTTGGCTGCTTGTCCAGTGCATGACCGCTGTAACGAGCAGTAGTATCACGCTCGACCTCGCCGGCCGACGAGCGGCCCGTCGTTCCACTGGGGGGCGGGGTGGCCACGCGCGTGGCCTGCACTGTCACGACTGGTGGGCGAGTCCCGGCGGAAGGCTCGGGACAAAGTCCTACGCGGGCCCTAGAACTCTTGCTGCGCGTCATTCCGTGTCCCCCAGTAGCTCGCATCGGCTGCTCATCTTTTTCTCGCGCAGCCTCACTCAAATACTTCAGGTGCGCACGATCAGGTCTTTTGCTGCTGCTGCTGCTACTACTGTTACTCGACGTCGCGTTACCATGTTGAATTTGGCGGTCGTGCTCCCTCTCCCGCACAGCAGCTGCACGTGGTGGAGGCGCGGGCCTGTGCATGGACGCCACGGAGACATTTGCGCTGCTGTAGTGCCCGGGGGCGGAAGGACCTACTCGGGCAGGAGCGTCGCCCCAACGCAGGTAGGGCGCGCCACGAGACACCGACCGTTCCTTTCCACCAGCTGCTCCGCTGCGCGCTGCTCTCGATGAGATATGTTCGTGATACAGCGATCCTGGCACGGGCGCGCGCTCCGTCTGCTCCGGACTCATCAATGCGTGATTACTTGTGTGTAGTTCCTCCTGAGAAGATTTCAGGTTTGATCTGCTTGTGGTGGAGGCCGAAGTAGAAGTACTGTTTTTCTTTCCGTCATCGCCCTTCCCGCCCGATTGCCGCTCGTCACTTTGCATTTTTGGTTCTGGTGGCTTTCTCCTACCCGGCGTTAAGTGCTCCTCGGGCGAGCCGGCAGACAGCGACGACGCAGAGTGGCGTTGTGTGTATGGGTTAGGGCCTGTTGACCCACGACGCCCTTGCTGTTGTTGCTGCTGCTGGCTACCTTGCATCAAGTGCGTTTCGGCGATATTCTCTGCGGAAACAGCAGCTGCACCTGGTGGACTTGGCCTGTCGTCTAACTGCTTGTCAGGTCGCATACTCGGAGAGGCGCGCCCGTCTGAGCGGCGGAGCGAAGAACTGCTGCTCGCGGTGTGCTCCATGCTCACTCCACCAGACGCTGCCTTCGCGCTTGGTTTTCCTCGAGCTAGTGCAGCACGAACGCTTTTCGATCTCAACGAAGCAGCAGTGCCTTTTTCCATTTCGTTTCTAGGTCGCCGCTTACGACCTTCGTCGACACCACTTGTCTCGATTGCCGCAGCTGTTCTTGCGGAAATCGGGTTGTACTTTGCGTGCACATCTCTAATTTTTTCACTCCCAGAAGTCGCGTGGTCCGCCCTTCGTCGTGCATGACCATGTGCGGCGGCATTGCTAGCAATCTCTTTTGCGGATAGTACTAAAAGATTTTCGGAGCTCACTCCTCCACCGACATGATGAGAACCCTGCATATTGTTACCGCCAGTGCTCGATGAAGATGCTGTTGAATTGCCGTGCCAGCTAGCAAATTGCTGCTCTGTCGACATTTTTCGATTGTTCGGATCCTGGCGTAAGGATTCCTGTCTCGAACTTACGATACGCTCTTCGCGCAGAGCTGCAAGCGAGCTGCGGTGCTTATAACCTTCATGTTTCGTTGCAGTTGCAGCAATATTTTGCGCAGGTACATCGTCACTAGTCTGCTCTGAGTGTTGCGCCCTCTCTTGGTTCGACGATCCGGTATGCGCATAATATGCTTTGCCCATCCTACTTTTCGCGTCGTCTTGCTCGGCGCTGCGTCGTGGTTGTTGTGCGTTTGCACACGGCAATGACGTTGGAGGAGCGGTGGCGCCGTCGTTTCGTCGAAAGTGGGGTTTGTACGACTGGTTTACCACGGCGCCGACCTGTTGTGGTCCGGAAGAGCGACCCTGCAGCGTCAGCACGCCTTCTACTTTTTGCTGCATTTCCGCCACAACACTCGTTGGAGCTCCATGTCTTCTAGAAGGCATCAGATGACTCGCAGCTATATTGAACCCAGTTGGTGCTTGTGTGCTCCTGCCTGTTCCTGCTGCACCTCCGTAGGCTGGAAAATAATGACGCACACCATCACTAGCACCAGTCGCTGGTGGTGACTCCAGAGATGCTGGCCCCAATTGCGTGACGTCCAAGTCGTTCTGCGGTGACCCGCTAGGGGCACGGTGTGGTTGGAACTGTTGTGCCGCCTTTTGGACGAAACCCGCATTCTGTCCCCCGGTCGCGAGGATGAGACGTCGTGGAGGCGGGACGTCTGCTCGTGCGGCAGCTTGTTGCGGCCCCCGCCGCGTTGACATCTTCTTGTCTCGCTCGTTCTCTCACTCGCTACTCTTTATCCTGTACTTAAAACATTTCTTTGGCGAAGAACTGTTCCACCTCCTATAAGTCAGATAACAGACATTATCAACATGAAGGGCGCTCTCCTATTCTTCGAAAGGACCAGTACGTCCGTGCATTTCAACATATTTGGACCCAGCCCGTCTCAAGTATTGATATCCATGTGCATCAGAAGATAGTTCACCTCGTGCGCTTATTTTGTTCCTCTTGAGCTTACACGAGCCATCGGATTTTGGGTACTTCGCAAAGACGGAGGCGTTCCAAGAGGAATCTACAGACAAGGAAGTAATAGAATCTCGTCATAAAAATGAATTCTACGACTTGTTTTTGTACTTTCACAAACTAGAAGCTAAATCAGTCATTCGCTTTTTGGAATCTCTCGTTTCTGACATTCTTTTCACGCGTCAGCTAGTATTTTCGAACACTATATTGTCTTGTAGGCGGCAAGGTTCTTCTAGCACCTAGGGTTTCGTTTTGTTCTCAGATTTGTTGCAAAGTCTTCGTTGCAAGAACCAACGAATCAGGCAAAAAAAGAGTAATAAATTTGGAACGTGTTTAATGTACGAGCACAACGTCAGACAGTCGAGTGCCATGACTAAAGATCAACTCCACTGAAGATGGGAACCAAGAACCTATTAAAAAATCAAACGACTAGTTATGGTTCTAGGCATTCGATCAGGAAAAACATTAAAGTGCAGTTGCAAAGCGACTTTGATATCTTCACCTGACGCTTCGCGCTTTTAACAAATGAATGACAGCTTAAGCTATAAAATCGAATTTCGTGCTTAATAGTAATGTTCAACGGCTTTCTTCCGCAGAAATTCGACTTCTGAGAGAAGCACTGCTGGCGAGTACTGTTTTTCTGCCTGAGAGAGAGCTGCCGCCCATTCGACATAACTCAACAATTTTCCAGAAGCGGCCGATGCATGTTCCTCTCCGTGCAGTTTTACCAATCCTTGCTTGCCTTCTTCCGGGGCGTCTCCCTCGACCGTAACTGTGGGCGGCCCGAGCAGCAGTCCCTCCACAAGGTAGGGGCCGTCGCTTGGCGCAGTGCGCAGGAGGCAGAGCTGCCGCAACTCTGCACGCAACACGAAGCCCGGTTGCTCCGGTGCCATCAGCAAGTAAAAAATTTCGTCGAGGGCAGGCTTCCACACCTGAGGAAGATATTCGGAAGAGGAATCGAGTTTGCTAGGACAAATTGCACATTACAACCGGAAGTGTAAATAACTGAAAGTAAACAGCAAGCTTAGAACTAGCTATTTATAAAAATGTATGAAGTACGTTTCGATCTACCTATGTTTGAAAATGTCTATTACCTTGCTCTTCAAAGCGCCTGGCCCGCCAAAAATCTCCTCCGCTTTACGCGCCGCAGTCGCAAGAAGACTAGAGATGACAGTTAGTGAGTCACTATCCAAAATTCGCCTACGCTCTTCGCCGTTTGTGCTTGCTTTTCGCTGTGCTGTTCCCGGACACTTGCTGTAATCCTGCAAAGCAGAGCGGGCAGCGTCGCGCTCTCCGCGGACACCCGCTGCCAGGTTGGCGCAACAGCCAAGTATACGCGGTACGTTCAGTTGGAGAGGCAAGTATGCGAATTGGGGATTTGTCGGGTCGTGCACCACAGACGACCCCAATTCCTCCATCGCGTCCCAGATCATTGTGTCATGCACGAATCGTGAGTCCTCTCCTTTCGTCTCATCAGCTTTTATCTTGTTTGAGGCCGCAGCCGGAGTGGTACTGGAAGATTTGCTGTAAGAAGTGGAAGATGATGTTGAGTTCATATGGTTCTTTTGCGTCGACGTACTCCTCGTCTTACTAACAGAAGACGAGGATGCAGCAGCGCGAGTCTTCGTGAGCTTGATGCATGAGAGCTTCAGAACTTGCGCCACAAACTGTAGATCGCGGTTACGACCTTTTTTCGCGAGCAAACGCACACTTTCGGCGAGTCCAGAGATCGCGAGGCACTGCTCTGTCGACACCCCCAGGTCAAACTCCGGCTGCAAAGTATTTCCCTTGTTGCACAAGGCGCCACACAACCCGGCCAATGGACGCTGCGGAAACGAAACTGGTACCGTTGGGTCCATCAGAAAATACTCGGCTAGCATTTTCAAGAAGCCAAAAACCTCTCGATCTGGACGACACACACCCGTTTCGTGTTTGCTTCCACGACCCAAAGGAAGTCGGGACGAATTAGTTTTCTTCATCCCATGCGAAGCAGATGCCGCTTGTACATTTAGTGCAGGATTAACGACTTCCTCCATCACCCACCATTTCCAGGCTGCAGCCGGATCGCGAAATAAGACGTCCGGAGTGTCGTGGATAAGCTTCACGTCGGACAGATCTGGCTGTAGTTGTGTTGGCATGTAATTGGTAGGCAGGATTCCTTCACCTTGTTCTCGCATGTTTGACTCTCCTCCGCCATAAAAGGTTTCATTTTCGTAGCTTGCACCGAAAAAATGGCGCGCGATGTATCTTTTACTAATCAAGTCCTCGCGACGCAAAATGGACTCTCCCGCCTCTATCTTCGCTGCAGTCTCAATTTTCGCACCAAAATCTCGGCCGGCGAGTGGTGCCAAATTGTGGAATCGCGAACCACCGGCAGAGTTACGCCTCATTGTCCCTGCCATAGTCTTACTAGCAGTATTATGAGTATTGTGACCATGTTTCGCGGTCTTCCGGTCAGTTACGCCTTGCAGCTTAGAGCCCGGCAAATGAAGACCATGCTCGGCCAGTAGCTGCGCCACGTGGCTGCGAGGTTTCCCATGCACGATTTTTGGTAAACTAAAAGATGTCTTTATTCCCGTATTCGTGGGGTTAATTCTAGACGATGATGAAGAGTGGAGTTTGCGTCCAGAGACTGGCGAAGTGGTGGCAGATACCGCCGTGCTCAGGCTATTGCGATCCGAAGAGGGTCGGACTTCTCCGTCCGCAGCTTCTACACCATTACCCAGAGTAAGGAGTTGTCGTAGACCAAAAAGACGCTTTATTTCACGAGGAATAGTACGTCGACCTTGCTGTCGTGATGCCCGCCCACTTTGCGCGCCTCCTTGTCCATTGCTGCCATCGGCTCGTCTGGTATAAAACGTAACTGCCATATGGCCTCGGGGCGAGAGCTGGAAGCAGGGTGACGATGTCCCGGCTCCGTACTGGCTCGAATACATGCGACCGCTTGGAGACACTTCTCCTCTCGATGTTTTATCCTCAACATTGCCAAAGTCCTGTTCATGGCCATTTTCATTCCCGATCGCCTTCGAGTTTGAACTCTCTAAGAGAATTGGTCCGTGCTGCTGCCGCGGATGCGAAGCAACTCCATACGCTGTATGTTCAAAAACCTCCTCCAGTGTCATCGTCATGATCTTTCGCTTTTCGGGCGCTCCATTCTCTAACGGAATCAGCAGTGCTCCTGTGGTGCGGGACGGAGACCTAGTACGTTGAGCTTGACTTTGACTTGCGCCATGACTACTAGCCTGCCGAAGGGTGGAGCCAGCTGTAGCGTGGTGATCATCAAAGACCGTGCGAGGCGACGCAAGCACGTCAACGGCAGGAGGATTCGCACCTACTTCTTCGGCGATCGACCAGTGCAGCGGGGGCACGTGACCTGTGGAAAAGTAATAAGAGAAACACTTTTTTTCCACAACAAGCTGAGAAAACTTCATCATAAAGGTACTTCTATCTTTTGTTCCACAACTAAGACAAATGAATGAACAAGCGGATTCTGAGTGAAGAGTATTGGCATCCGCTTAAAGTCAAAACTTGTATTAAAGTCACCGCAATGAATCTTACATGTCGAGTGCATCCCTAACACCCCTCTATCACAGCCCTGTGGTTTTTGCGCTGTCAAACCCTAAGCCACTAATCCGCATGATCAATAATACCTCCACGCTTCTGTGTCTTTTTGGTAACGCGCATGGTTCCAGTAAAGGCTGCAGCAGAGACTGTAGGCAAAAACTCTTTTGTTTTTGATTTGATGCATCCGTCGCGCGGTTTTTGCGCTTCCCACTTCAGGGCGTCCTTGGTCACAAGAGACACGCCGGAAAGACCACGTCCGAGTGGTACCGACATCCTGTTTTCTTACGAGTCTAAGATCTTGTGCTTGTCCCGGAAGTGGTGTGGAAGACCGTGGTGGATATATTGGGTTTCTCTTGTCGGGGAATATCTCCCGTCGCTATATCTTTCACGCGATGCCGACTCTTGCGATCTCCTGCTTCTCTTCCTGGTCACGATGCTCTCTTTGGTTTCAGGTCGTTTCTTTCGGGTTGTCTTTAGCCGTATACCCGGGTCGTGTCGGACCAATCGTCCCCATGCAAGCTGTTCTCTTTGCAACCACAGACGAAAAAACGAAAGAGGCTAAGCTTCCATGATCCTACTATGTCTGTACTACAATCAGCTTGCTCTGATGTATCGAGTTAGTTGTAGTAATATGTGATGAGATTTATAAAATCAACTGAAAAATTGAATGCGCTCGTTCTGCGGGGTGCGACTGCTTGCGGGCAGAAAGAATGGGAGTATGGGACTAATCAAAATTAGAGCAATAAAAACAAATTCGGATAGAAGAAGCTGTTATACATTTGGAATCGTATGAACATTCATGAACATAGCCACTCTCTATAGATTTTTCGCTCGCGCCTTGCCGATTTTACAGATTTACAAAAGGACAGATGATTAACTATTCCCTCGAGTGACAGATTTTAATTTTTCCTTCACAGACTGAGTTCCACAGATGGAGAAGACCCTCACATGCAAATGGGGTTGCACATATTTTCGTCTCAACCTCCGCAACAGATTCATCACGAATCGAGTATACAGAATGCCTATCAAGTAATCATTCAGACACCACGAGAAAGTATGTTTCCTTATCGAGGACTCTCACTTTGCTGCACTAAACGTCACTGGGCTACAAAGTCTTTCCACCGAATTTCGCAAGAAACAGATTACGAAGCGCTTATCTTACAACTGAGTCGAAGTCAATGCCACGGACGACACAGAGTATAGGATAATCTCTTACAGTATAAAGTTTTTCCCTCATTTTGATTTTGATTTCATGGCTTATATTTTGAATTTTGATTTTGATTTCATATTTTGAATTTTTTTTTTGAATTTTGGTTTTTGATTTTGAATTTTGAATTTTGGTTTTGAGTTTTGATTTTGAGTTTTGCTGTTGAGTTTTGCTTTTGAGTTTTGATTTTGAGTTGCAAAGTTTCGAAATTTGGACCAAATTTTGAAATTTGGCTCAAAGTTGTGAAATTTGGCTCAAAGTTCTCAACTTTGGATCAAAGTTTTGAAATTTGGATCAGAGTTTTGAAGTTTGGGTATTTTATATTTTGAGTTTTGATTTTCCTTTCATATTTTGGTTTCATATTTTGAGTGTTGATTTTGCGTTTTGATTTTGAGTTTTGGTTTTGAGTTTTGGTTTTGAGTTTTGATTTTGAGTTTTTTGAGTTTTGATTTTGAGTTTTGATTTTGAGTTTTGCTTTTGAGTTTTGATTTTGAGTTTTGATTTTGAATTTTGATTTTGAGTTTTGAGTTTTGAAGCTTGATTTTGAATTTTGGGTTTTGAGTTTTGATTTTGAATTTTGCCAAACCATCTGTTTGCTTTCCTTGAGCATTCGCCAGCAACTCACTGCTCTAGCAAATTCTTTGGAGTTCCGTTGACGCCTGCCCCTGGGGGACCACTCCAGAGAGCTAGTCTACGTCGCCATATTTGTTAGTGCGATCGATCGCAATCTGCAGCTTTTTGTTTCTTCGTAATGAATTTCTAATTACTCAGACTTCTTCACTAGAGATTATAACGTGGACAGTCACACAAACATCGTCAAAGGCATCAAGCAGCACATAAAACTTCACACAGTTGTAACAACTAGAGTGTGCTTTCACACAGCCTTCTGATCCCGGACAAGCTGTAGATTTGCATCGTTTCAAAATAGCATTACAGGCACTTCTGCCCCAATGCGTCGCTATTCTGATCATTGCTATGTTAATAATGCGCAATAACGAATTTTCGACGTCAATTCGTTTCTGCGTCGACGATGACAAAAATGCTAGTAACGTTTTTTCTAACCGATACCATGAAGAACAACTAGAAAATACAGTATCAAAAAAATTAGTCTTTTAAATAGGAATTTACCGTCTACATGAATATTGAGGAGATACATGCAAGCACATTATTATCTTTCATAAACGGTCAAGACGAAGCATAATCATTGCTACGCAAAAAGCGACCAGGAGTTGTGGGAGCCTGCTGCACAAAAAAACCAATACTCCCATACAACTACTGCTAAAAGCACCATCTCCATACCCATGCTCATGGAATGCTAGCAAAGGTGACATCATGAATGAAGAGGAAAATAAGTTATTACTTCCTCCAACATGCAGTATCGATCCGGTGGTGTCTTCGTCAAAATTTTCTCGTGGCTGTTTATTCAACAAATGTAGTCCGAAACTCGTGAAACTACTAGCATCATAATCAGCTTTTGTGTAACGCAAACTTGCAGTCGCTCCTCCTACTGGTACCGGCATACCCGACTTGCAAAAACCTCCATCTCGTAGCCCGCTCTCTACTCCACTTAATTCGTCCCCACTCGCTTGCTCAACATTGTTCTCGCCCCCAATTACATATTTGTTGTAACTCTGCTGCTCGTAGAACAACAGCATCTTGTTCACCATGGTGCCTATTATTTGATCTGTGCCGCCGGAGGCTCCTCCCACGCCACAAAATAACAGTAGCACAAGTGCTCGTAAGAGCCAAATGACGTAGTGTGTCTGGGCAATTTTGAGACTGAACCGACGAAAGGCTGGCGACCGCACGCGCAAATACACGGCAGCAGATACGCGCAAAATTAAGTCATCCAACGAGAAGCGTAGGGGGATGATCGAAAGGCCACTGAACAAAATGAAACCCAGCACTCCGAACCGACTTTGCGTAACCGCAGTTGCCATCGCTGTGATGATATCCAAATTCCCCCTCCGCGATTGTGACGAACATGTGGCTTGTGAGGTACTTGATGTTCTTGTGATGGCTGAAGTCCTAATTGAAAAAGCAGATGTACTTGATGCCTTTGTCTCCTCGTTCGGAGTCTTTCCCTGACACAAGATAAATTTTGGCGATGAGTTGTCGCTTGAATCTTCTTGTCTCCTTGAAAGAATAGTCGGCGAGGTTCCGTTTCCTTGACGGCATAGCTGCTTTGACACCAATTCCGTTCGACGGAGCGAAAATGTGCTATCATTTCTTGTTTGTTGTAAAACCGTGGTAGCGTCATCGTGCAATATGTGAGTGCCCCTGATATGGCTGTTCGTGACCACCGCAGTAACGTCATCGCGATCAACTCGTTTTTGACTCAAACTGTTCGTAAGAAGCTGGCGAACCACGCTTAGCGGACACGAAGACGTCAAACGATTTGGCGGTACAGTTCCGTTGTGGTGAAAACGATCGTTTGAAAAATTCTTTTTCTCTTTTACGTCTTCATCCGACGTATGAGCATCTGAATTTGTTTTTTTCGCAGATGACCCGGAGTCAGGTTCGTCATAAATTGAACATGTCGAACCCACTGACGTTTTCGACACGCAAGCTTGCTGGCATGTTTTGTCCAGATGAGTATCTTCTTGTTCTCTGCTTTTCCAGCACGCATTTTGCTCGCCTGATACTGACGAGAATCTCCTACCTCTATCATGGTCGTGTTGCTGACGTTCTTGCTTGTCATCGTCGTTTAGTAAATTATTCTGTTCGTCGACGTGGTCTATTTTTAGTACTGAGCGTGTCACGATCCGAGGAAAGAGCATCCTCCGCCCTATTCCGTCGCTCAGGAAAAGCGCGTACGCCACGACAATCACTGGCAAAACCAAAGTAAAGTGGGTTCGCCCGAGCATGACCGTGGACAGATCCACGAGTATTAGATACAAGAGATCTCGCACAAAGTGCGAGCTTAAAACATAGTTCATTTCTTGGTGATATCATTTCATCTTCAGCATCTATCCCAAGAAGAAAAGAGAGAAAAATGATTCGTAGAAATGAACTATGTATTGAGCCATAAGAGTAGGCTGCTGTCAATGCCACGATAGAAGGCCAAAAGAAAGTGAAGGCTCGCCGCCGAATGAAGGTTGTACCAAAACAAGAATGTTGTTTTCGAAATAGGTAAATTCCTGTTGCAACACAGCCAGCTACCTTTCGTATTTGCCAAACGGTAAAGGATTGGCAACCCCGTATGTGGAATGACAAAGGTAGCCGCAAGTGGGACATTGTGGGTGAGGTACTCTAGTATTTTCCTGCCCCAAAAAGAAGATCGGCTGACGCTGCTCGTCGCAATGTTCATCGACCTCGCGCCTTGTTGACCATCTCGCATCTTCTCCACAAAGTGGACATTCCCACCACCGGCACCGCCGGGAAATAAAAATGCAAGTTCGGGAATATCTTCACCCAGGTGCGTGACGAAGGCGATCACGCCGAAAAGGACCCACACCGAATACAAGTGCGCCAGCTTTTCCAAAGCGGCGAGAAGCATAGTGCCAACTTCTGCTTTGGAAGGGAAACGAGTTGCAAATCCAGACTGGCATGGCCGTTCATCAACATGTTGTCGCGATGTGGCCTCCTTGTTCTTGATGTCCTTGTCCGTATCGCACGTAAAAGTCATGTTGCGGCGGCAGGATGAGCACGTAAAAGTCAAGTGCGTTTCTTTCCGCTCTCCGCCAAGGAGTGATCAAAGGTTTGGTTAGGTTAGGTGTTGAATCGCCATCCGCAGTGTGACCTGTACCGTCAAGCCTAAAACGACTTTCTTCATAGCTTATACTTTCTGGCAGCAGTACATCCTGTCGCTGCCGCGTCACGCCACTCCCAAGCAAGTATCGTTCTTCGCAGTGAGTTACTACTTATGGATATCTATATACATGTCTGATCACTGTAAGCTGCTTCGTAATAGTTGACAATTCAAATATGACATAGAAACGCAAAATCGAATTCATCATCTTCAATGCAACGACTCACAAATCTTTACACTGAGATTCAAGCCAACAAATTCATAAAAATGCGCGCTACATAATCTATAAAAAAATAATGGTGGTGAATTGTCTGCGAGAAACAGCGAGCATCAGAAGACCACATAACGGACTTTGTAGTTACAGACTGTAGATGGGGTAGACAAGGAGGCAAACCCTCGTAGAGGGGGGTACCAGTCCAGAAGAAGACGAGAAGAGATGCTGCAACGTGTATTTCAGACAACGGAAGAGTACAAGCGAGGCTACGAGGCGAGGCCGCGACCATACAACTTGCAGAGAGATATAATGAACGACTCGTATCTGGCCACGGAAGGAATGCACAAAAGACCGCAGTAACAATGGGTAACATCTTCTACTCTCAGGCCGATGTCGCTCTCGCTATATGGACTTCCTGGGAACACTCGCACGTCACAGTTGTTTGTTTAAGAAGTCGTCTATACTGTATTAGCATAGCCGGAAACAGGAATGGAAGTCGATTCACTCTTTTTACGCATGTATCAATTTACCACGCCAGTACAGACTCTTAGAGGCCACCACGAACAAAGCGCTGGAACTCTCGTTCTTCATGATGTAAACTCACATTCGGGACCCTAGAAATGCTTCGGAGGTTTCTAGGATCAAGACGGGGCGCGCTGCTTCGGGATGTCCGCCGGAGTCGGGTTGCAGAGCAGGGCGGGACGAGGGCCCGCGGAGTGGCGTTAGCTTCGTCGGGAGTGGTTGCTGATTTTGGGTGGCCGAAACCTGCCGAGTTGGCGCGGGCTGGAAGCATAAGGCAAGAGGCAGAGCCCCCGCGTGCGGGCTCGCGGTCCTTTGCCCCAAGTCCGGCGCATTTGCGGGCTTCCTTTGAGTTCGAGCCCCAAACTTGCCAAAAGTTAACAGCTTTAGGGCGGAAGCCTGGCGAAGGTGATCCGCGGGCCATCGACTTATTGCGGACCGGCTGCGAGGCTTGGAGCTGGAGCATCAGGCCCAAAGCAAGCCCCTGAGAGCGGGCTCCGGGCTCCCAGGGTCGTCGCCCCCCCGCTTCCCCCGGAGTTTTGCCCGCAGAGCCTTCAAAGGTCCGAGACTTTTCGGGGAGAAGCCAGGCCACGGCGGCACCGTCCGCGCAAGTCATCGACCCATCGCGGACCGGCTGCCACGCTTGGAGCATCAGGCCCGAAGCGACGCCCCCCGGCACGGGCTCGCGGCTCTTTGCTCCACGGCCGTTTTCCCCCGCTTTCCCAGGAGTCCTACCCGCAAAGCCTTCAAAGGCCCAGGCGTTTGCTTGGGGGAGAAGCCAGGCAACAGCGGTCCGCGCACGTCATCGACACGTCGCGGATCGGCGGCCAGGCTCGAAGTCTCCGGCCCGAAGCTTAGCAAATGGGTGCGGGCCCGTGGCTCTTTGCTTCACGGCCGTTTTCCCTTCCGCTTTTGTGCGAGGGCTGCCTTCGAGTCCAGGCTATTTGGCGAGAAGCTAGGCGACGGCGGTGCGTGCGCGCAGGCCATCGACTTAGCGCGGACCGGCTGCCAGGCTTCGAGCATCAGGCCAAACGCCGGAGCCGCGGAGGCTCGGGGGCTCCGGCATGGTCCCAAACAGTTTCCTTCTTTCCTGGTCGGGGGCGGCACTCCAGTCGGGCGTCTGCGCGATCCCTGTTTCCTCGGCAGCAGAGAAAACCCGGGGGGCGGGGGCGCGGGTGCGTGCTCCGCGGAGGCAGGGGCGGGCCGCCGATGGCATCTGGGTAGAACTCCTAGGTGGTTTCGTATTCTCCTAAGTCCACTCTTTGAGCCTCAGTGAATGAGACAAGCGCCGAGGAGACAAGCGGGCTGCGCTTGTCTCATTCGATCCGCCTGTCTCATTCGTATGGTTTTGGTGTCAGCCTCGCCAGCTGCCGCGGAGTCAAGGCGACTAAGGGCAAACGCCTTAGGGGCAAGCGCCCAAGTCGATCCCTTTCTGAAATTCTCAAGGTTTACAAAAGTCGCGGACTTTTAAACCCAAAAAGCTGCAGACTTGTGAGGGCTTAGCAGCCTGCCCGCCATAAGTCGACAAGCCGAAAACAGCCGGCCGGCTCAGCTGTAAGTCTGAAGCATTCCGCGCGAAGCTGATGCGTAAAGCCTCGCCTCCGCCATTAGATCGGGGGCAGGCTTGGCAACCACCTCAAAAGTGCGACCCTCTTCGAGTGGGGAAGGCGACCCCCCTAAAGAGGCGCCCGCTTTCGAAGGCCTGACTGCGCGCGACCGAGCTGCTGTCTGTTTCCGGGTTGCGAAGCTGATGCGAAGGGCCTCGCTTCCGCCATTAGATCGCTAGCAGGCTTGGCAACTATCTGAAAAGCGCAACCTTCTCCGAGTGGGGAAGGCAATCCCCTGAAAGAGTCGCCTCTTTTCGAAGCCCTGACCGCGCGCGATCGAGCGGCTGTCTGTTTCCGGGTTGCAAAACTGGCGCGCAAAAACTCGCCCCCCCATTGCCAGCCGATTAAAAACAGACCCAAAAAAGCAAACGACTACAGCAAAACCGGGAAGCTTTTCCACGCCTGAGAAGAGGCACTTACCACGTAGGCGCCTCTTTTCAGGCGTGCCCGCTGCTGCCCGGCTCAGATGACTCCGATGGCCCGCAAGTGTCTCCCAAGAGCTGACACCAGGACCGCGGCGCAAAGCGCCCGCCGTGAGTCCCCAGGAATATCCCCGGGACAGCTGAAGAGCTTGGCACTAGCGAGAGCCATCGCCACGGCAGTGCGAGTTCTGCGCGGGTTGGCTCACATGTCCTGCCGCTGCCGTCTGCTCCTCTCTCTTGTCTTTCTCTTCCCCCTACCGATGACAAAACGGACGGCACAAGAGCAAACTGCGGCCACGCCTTGGGCAGGATCGGGGGAAGCAAATGAAGACAAGAGGGGGCAAAGAAATCCAAAAGGGAACCGAAGCAGCACTGTCCCTCAGCGGTTTCGCTTAAGAGTTTCGCGGGGGGGACTCCGATGGCGCGCAAGTGTCTCCCAAGACATCATAACAAGACCGCGGCGCAGAGGTGGCCGACCCGTGGCATTATAGAGAGAGAGAGAGAGAGAGAGACGCGAGGAGGCGCGAGAAACAAACGAGGGGAAGCAGCCGACGCGCAACCGATAAGCAGACGCCAGAAAAGCACAGAAAAGAAGAGAAGGCAGCACGCGAAACCGATAACAAAGCGGACGGCCCAAGAGCAAAACGCGGGCACGCCTTGAGCAAGACCGGGGGAGGCAAATGGGGGAAAAAGGGGGCAGAGAAATCTACAAGGGAACCGAGGCAACGCTGTCCCTTAGCGGTTTCGCTTAAGAGCTTCGCGGGGATCCACTCGAAACCGATACCCGCACGAAGTTCGAAACTGTTAAGGGGCAGAACATAGGCAAGCCGAAACCGCTCAGGGACTTGCAAAACGGCCGGCAGCTTTTTGCGTTGTGTCTTCGCTTTTTTGGCCTTTTTCCCGCGTTTGTGTTTTGTGTTGTGTCCGTTCCCCATCTGTGAGGCCTCGCCGTGTGCCTCGCTTTTTGGCGGGTTTGCTCCCTAAGTGTTCAAAAGCCGAAGCCGATGGATAAGCGACCCAGGCGAAGCCGATAACGGCACCCGGAAAACCTTCGCCGCCTTGGAGGTTTTGGACGTGTCTCGCCACCCACCACAGTGAGAGCACAGGCCACAAGCGCGCAAGCCTCCGGGGATACTATGCACCCCGCCACCGCGTCGCCTTGCCGCGGTGCGCAGGTGCGTCGCTACTTTGCTCCGCTTGCACATCGGCGCGGCGACTGAACAGAGAAGACAGCCGAACAAGCGGAACGACGCAGCAGACAGAACGACCAACGGAGCGAACAGAGCGACAAAACAGACAAGACGACCAAGCAAGGAGAACGACAGAAGAGACAGAAACAAGACCGAACAGCCAGAACGACGGAACAGACAGAACGACGGGACAGACAAGACGACGGAACAGACAAGACGACGGGACAGACAGAACGACAGAACAGACAAGACGACGGCCAAACAGGTGGAACGACTCAGCAGAGAAGACGGGGGAACACCCTCAGGCCGTTGGGCGGTGCGTGGCCATGCTTCAGCCGCAGCCACCACGGCGCGCCCTCGAATCACAGGGGGGCGAGAATGGAGCGAAGAAGGGAGCCAGAGGAAGACGACAGCCGCGGAAGCCCTTCAGAGAGCCCAGCCCTGCGAGCTCTGCGCAGGCTGGCTCGCATGTCGCTGCTGTCTGCTCCTCTCTCTTCCCTTTCTCCTCCCCCGGTGATTCGAGGGCGCGCCGCGGTGGCTGCGGCTGGCGTGTGCCGCGCTGTGTCTCTCAAACTGGGCGAAGTCTTTGGACTGGCTCCGCCCTGTGTTTGAGGGCGACTGCTGGCCGCCGCGGCTGGGGTGCGCTTGGCGGTGTTGCGCTTGGCGGTGTTGCGCTTGCGGTGCGGTTTTTTCTTGGCCTAACCGACGGCGCAGCCTTCAGAACTTGAGAGCAGGGAACACCGTGGACGAATCTGCTGAGAGAGACCCACCCAAGGGACAAGCGGAAGCCAGCAAGAGCTCGCCCAAACTGGTCAAATTTGACAAATTTGACGCCCGCCTGTCTATCATTTTGGAGAAGCCTGAAACAGATGGAAAGGCTCTGCCACAAACTTCGAGACTTCTCCAAGGCCCTGGCTCGCTTTGGTAGGTCTCCGGCGCGGGTCCTCTTCGGTGTGGGTGCTCTTACTTCGCTGCGGAGGCCATTCCCTAGCGCAGCGGCCGCCTCTGGTGTCCGCGCATTCCTCGGCATACCTTGCTGCGTGTCGCGGGTGGCGTATTGACAGGCCACCAGGCTACGCGCGTGGCCTTTTGGTGGCAATTCATAAGATAGCAAAATAAGGCGGCGAATTCATTTCAGTGGAGATTATAAAAGAAAAGCACCCCGCTCAGCTTTTTCGGCTCAGAATCTAGAGTGGGGCTCTAGAGCTGGGGACTTTTTTCAGGGGGGATAAAAAAGCAGAATGAGTCTCGACTTTTTTGGCTCAGGATCTAGGTAGAGGGAAGGGATTTGGCTGCGAATCTATTTCAGAGGGGACCGAAAAAAATGGCACTCCTCCCGTCTTTTCTTCCCAGAATCTAGAGGGGAGAGCGCGGGCTATAAATCTTTTTCATTTGGGACCGGAAAGCCGCGCCAGACAATTCCCAACTTTTTCCGCTCAGAATCTAGAGGGAAGGGCTTGGGCTGTGGGTTTTTTTCAGTGGGGACCGG